TAAAATTATTCATTCGATTCTTAGTGTTCATCTATATTTATTAGAAAGATATCGATGAACGAGACAGAGAACGGTTTAAACGAATATAAATTGATTAAGATTTTAACAGTATCAGTAATTTGATATTGATGATGGTTCATTCCCTGTAGACATCTGTTTTTTTTAGTAGAACCAAAAAAAAATTTGCACTATTTGAAGTCTATATTATCCAGGTCAGAGAATAATTTTTAAGATAGTATCTTTTTTGTTTTTTTCTATAATAACGCAAATCAGTATTTTGATATAGACGATGAAAAAAGTATTCGCTTATGCGACTTAAGTATTATTTAACATGAAATATCTATTTTCAATTGGCATTGTATAGGCAAGATTTTTTTTTTGGTGCGGTAATCATATATTTCGTAATTTGAAATAAATGATCTCTTTTTTCTCGCCGTAGAATATAATGTCTCTTGGCTTCTGTTTAGAGATAAACTTATTGAATTTTGTTCTTAATTGATTTTATCTTTTGGAATTATTGATGTACGATGTTTATCCTGGTTAAATATGCGTAAAAAATACTTTTTCTTGTTGAGTATCAAAGTAATATTGATTATCCATTATTCATTGAAGAAAGAAATGAATTAGCAAGCAATATTTAGTGATGATTTAATTCTCATTCGGTTTTCTATCTCAGAAAATTGAGAGACAGTAGTACATGAGAAAATCTTCAAAACTGTCATTGTCGATGTTCATGTCTTGAGGGAATTAATCAAGATTCTCTTATGTGTCTTTACACTATCGACCTACGAACTATTTTTTCGTACTGGGACAAGTACGGTCATCGATTGTATGCAAATTATATGACTTCGCCTAGTTCATTTGCGTCATTCTACAAGCTTCAAAAGATAAACATAATGATAAGGATGCTAATACAGGAAACTGAAACCAATAAGTCAATCTTCATATGTCTGAATAGTTTCTGCAACTTACCCAAGATGCTATCATCTTCAAACATATACCAATGCATTTAGTATTCTATTTGGTAGATAACAAAAAGTCTATTCGATGTATCAAGCAACAAGTAGTTCGTTTCATATAGAGTAACGGTCTGCTCGCAACTATCCTTCTTATTCTACAACCTTCATCAAACCAAGATAGTTATAAAGTACTCATTGAACAATCTCGTCTCTGTTCTAAAGGAGATACAAGAGAACTAAACAAAATCTATCTATTCTCGCATGCTTAAATGTCTGTTCAAGTAATTCATTAGTGTATGCTAGAGGTATTTCTTAATCAAGCGCTAAATAGAACATTCCAAACACAGAATGTATGGACTATCTATGAGATTCGATCTAGTTTACATGATGCTTGTCTACAACTACTGTAGATGATTTCTCGAAAATATAATAGCCAAAACATACACAATATAAGATAAAATTCGACGTATAACCTTCGTCATATATTTTAGACAAGGATAGAGACATTCATTGAAGAATATTTAAAAATGTTGTGGCCAATATGACCGACAAGAAAGTAGAATTCTTGAATGCATGTTCACAAAAAATGTCTCTGCTCCATAACGATCGGATGTCATATAAACTCTAGATAGTTGTAGTGCAACATAAATGTATTTGCTTTTTTTCTATAGATCTTTCGATGAATAAGCGATGTAACGTACTACATTATTCTAGAAAAGAATAGATTTCTCTCGGATAATATACTAGTTCGAAGTATCATTCATTTCGAATTTCTACTAAATGATTAATAACTCCAATAGATTTTTGAATAAAGTTGTATTGAATTCGAAGAATTTTCACGGTTGAGCACTAGTACTACTTTTAAATAAACATTTTCAAAAGCATGATTAGAAAATACCATTCAAAGGTGATACACGACAAGTTGGTACACTTTTTCCTTTCACTGCTAATGTTTAAAAATGACTATCTATGCTTTCTTTTCATTTAAATATAACTAAAAGCTCTGACAGTTGATCTTGATCAGATTTTAACATTAAACGAATCGACCAATTTTTGTTGCAATATTGACAAAAACTGTTTCAATGAATTCTTTTCTGTCGACAGCACTATATTGTAAAATGCCTTTAGATTTTTCTGGTCATAGCCAACAGCGAACAAACTTGTAGACAGTCATTTCTGAAATTACTCTTCTTACTAAATCTACATATATCAGGCTCGTTTTGTAGATGTATCTCATCTAAGTATTATGTCTAATAGAGAAGAACTATTTGTATCGATAGAAAGTGTATTACGAATCGAATCGATCGAAAATGACCAAAAGAGCAATGTCGCATGGATTCCTTTTAGCCTTCATAACTAGCGAAGTGCTAGCTTCATCAAGGTCAAAAATTTTAGTCGATTTCTTTCAGTCAATCTCTCAATGCACGAAGATTCTTTAGGTTTATAATTATCTTTTCTTATTCATTTCATAAGTGAAAATGACTAGATATCACAAATGCTACAGTTTGGAAAAAGAGCAAGTCAGTGATTTCGGTTTCATCTATAGAAGTTTTCATTTCTTGAATGTGCTCCTACAATTTGTACAATCTCACGGTAAGTTAACTGTTGCTCTCCGGACCTTGCTCCCTCGACAGGATTATGGGTGTGGGTGGGAGTGTGACTGTGAGTGACATAGATGGAACCGGTAGACCGGCCGGTAGATGACGTCGATCAGTCAACGAAGTTTTGCAGACCAGTTGGTCTACCGGTTACATCTATGATGAGTGGGTGTGGGAGATGGCGTGGCTGTGAATGTTTGCCACTTCTTCGCACACACACCCATGTCGCGAGAGCAAGTGTCATGGAATCCAATCTCACAATCTTGAAGATCTAATCCAAAGAAAAATCGAATATATTAATGAAATCATTATTTCTATTAATTACTTCACTAATCAATTTGCTATTGTTCATTCTTAGATGCAGTCATTGATAACGATAATCAAACATTTTGGGTTTTTGGTAACCGCCTTAAACCTTAAGATTTTTGATATCTTGTTAGAACGTCGTTTCATCAAGCAAAGGTGTCATAAATATCATTAAATATTGTCTAGGTCGCCTTCGCCATACTACAGAATAGTTAACAACTTGACCAAAACTATTTGTATTAGTGAGGGCACTGTGTTCACTTCTATTAGCCTTTCTTTCACTGTTTAGAAAGCAGTAGAATCCTAGTGTTAACAAATGTGTAGAAATTCGAAAGCATTATCAAATACCTTGCAAACATCGATGGTCTCGGTAATGCACTTTATTATTACTATGAAGAGATGACGATCTTCCCTTTTGAGCAAGCAAAATGATGATGACAAAAAACACCTGATGATTATTGACTAATAGTCGATATTTATTATCCATCGTTCCAACGAAATGTACAAACGTCAAACAGATACAAATCTAGAAAGAGTGGCGTTGCTTGGATATCGTCGAGATCTCGAAGTCATTTACCAATTGTATACTAATATAATCCAATATCCTGAAGTTGCTATTGAATTGGACAGAACGATATGAAGCTTATTGAGCACGAACTTATCTCAACGAAAAATTAAGAAAATGGAGAGCGTCATTGGACAAGTATCTACTAATAGTTGAACTTGAACCATTCTACGAGTCAGTTTCATACGTTGTTTGTTATGAAGATGATATGTAACGATTGGAAAACTATAACAAAAATTACGAATAGAAAGTAATGTCGATAAATGACTGACAACATTTATTAATCTATCACTTTTTTTAAATACTTTTTTTTCTCAGATAATTAGAATATTCCCATTTTGATAAAGATATGTTATACTATTTGCAGTTCAATAAAAAATGACTTTATTAAAACTGGAATATCGTGACGAAAATAAGAAATAAATCTTAATTATTAGTAATGTTTGTTAAAAGACTGTACCTAACGCTCTCAATAAAGCCCTGCCTTAGGTTGCCAACACGATAAACATTTGAAAACGACAATTCGCAAACTGTGGAATATGCTAATCAATATTTCTTTTTATTGAAATAATCTATATGGTTTTTATAATTAAAACAAAAATTCATTTTCCTATTACTATTTGCTACATGAATAGTTGTATTGTTTAATATTATCTTAGTAGCATTTCATAAGGTGAATGACTATCTAATCGTATTTCATATGATATTGTGAAGAATTTCATATTACTAAACATTTTTAGTTAATATTACATTTGAAATTTCTAACTATTTAGTCGAAAGATTCGAACATTGTTTTACGCATAGCTGTCAATTTTTAAGTATATAGTAGTCAGACAGATATACAGACGCAATCGAATATTTCATGGCAAAATCTATAATTGGAAACAAACCGACATTCTAATCCAGTAGCTATGATTTCAATATCGACGTAGATTTTACTATTTATTGTTTATTAAACATTCAAAATTTGCATAATAATTAAATTGAACAAATGTATATTGAATGCACATCATTATTTGTAAACAATTGTTTATAATTACGCAAATATTCCAGCTGTCTGTAGGACAAACTACTTTTTTTTATTAAACTTTTGGTTTATCTAATTTGCCAAAGTGATGTTTCGTGAAATAGTTTGTTGCCTTATAAATAACATTGTTTTTTCATTTCCTTTTCTCATAGACCCTAATGTCAATCAAATAATGAATAAAATCATGCAGTAATATTCATTTCTTTAATGATAAAATATCAATTGATCTAAAAATTAACTATTTAAAAGCAACGATTCTCTTCAATGAATATCATCATTGTTGGATAAGAACTATATGTAAAGAAAGAGACCTTTCCTTCTAATATCTATTTATTTTTTCTATTGTGCATCTTTTGTGAAAATCAAACACATGCACACGTACACACTGGTGCACAAAAAATTGATACGACATAAAAACAAAACTATCTTTTGCTACATTGGTGCTTATAATTGTATAGAAAAGGTTGTGAAACAAAAACAAGAGAGAATTCATTGTAAATTGATTTAACTTGTTAATTGTGTGCGATGATTATGATTTCAAATATCTAATTACTACGTTTATACCAACGACGAGCTGTTACCTGACCAGCTTTCATATCCTATTACGTGAGAAGCGAAAGAAAAAAGAATATATATATATAACTTGATAAGAAGAAAAAAGAAAGATAAACTTACAATTTGTTGTTGTCCTTGATCATCAACCCAACGTGTAATTATTGATTCTTTACCATTTTTATCGCGCATTGTGTGCATCCATTTATCATTTTTGAATTCAATAACAGACTAGACAATTAAAAATAAATAACAAGAATTAAAATACAATTTTATGAAAATTATATCAATTAACTTTAACAATTTCACCATCGAGACGAGTTTCATCGAATTCAACGCCAGGTACAAAGTCGTACGAAGCTGTTTTGAGTGTTGATTCACTTTTAAGTGTCCATTGATCTCCATTTTGACTAATGCTCAATTTAGGTTTGATAAATTTAGCCGATTGACGAAGTGCAAAACCAACACCCTAATATTAAAAAGAAATCAAAATTGATTCAAAGAAAACGAAAATCTTTTTACTATTTCTTTCATATAGTCATCGAAGTGTTCACCATCGACATATTCCCATGTACCTTTAAGTTGTTCAATACCACTTGTAGCTGCCATTATGCTTCAATAAATCTTCTAATGAATAAAATCTAAAAATCAAAATGACTTTCTCTTGTACTTAATAAATCAACAAATACTTTCAAAAGTAAAAAGAAGAACAAAGTTCAACAAAGAGTAAAAGAATACTGTAGTCAAACCTCATTTTATATGTTAGTATCAATAATTGTAGAAAGAGAAGCTGAAATACTACTTGTTGATTCTAATTTTATTGGCTAAAGTAAGAAAATATCAGAGATGAAATCAGTTCGTGGTTTTTCGGAAGCGAATCGGAGTGTCTTTGGATCAATTCAACTCGATTTGAAATAGAGCCGATTCCATATTCGGAAAGTATATATTGTACTGCTGGTAACATCTGGTTGAATAAATCTCGTAAATTTTGCATTCATATTATTATTATTATTACTGTTTTAAAGAATGAAACAATTTTTTTCCTTCTTATCCTTAAACTTCGTGGTTATAGATTCAAGAACCTGCACTCATTAGAATAGAAAATTATTTACCCCTGACTTTCAACTACAATAATTATTATTTCGTTACGTCGCTTAAATTCAAACAGTGATTTTCTTTTAACTATAAACAATGCTACATAAGAATAAAAGAGATACAGTGAAAAAGGCTACCAATTTAAAGTGTTCATTTATGATACAATTCACGTACGTTTGATAACAAGCACTTGAAAATACAGATAACATGTAAATAAAAACAACAGAAAAAAAAGATAATTGCAGTTAATTGTTACCACTCATATTTTTGTTATCAAAACAAGAACTCGAATATTTTTGATCTTTTCAACTAATCTAGTGATAGACACACGATTTATTTTTTTCATTTTATCATTAAATGCGAACCTATTCATTTCTAAAAGTTAAATGTTTTTTCAATAGGAAAGTGTTGAACGAGTAGAAATGAACTAAGATAAAAAATTTTGTATGAAAAAATGAACTTTAACCTTTGCACTATTTTGTAATCAAAGAGCGTAGTTACCATGTTTTCTTTCGTGTACATCACTGTAAAAAATAAGTGTTGAGTAATAAACCCTCACTATCCGTTTATTACCATCATATAAATCCCTTTTTTCGCTATATAAACGAAATAAACCTTCAAGCGAAGAGTTTATTATCCTACGATAATTTTAAAAACATGCAATGATAAACTCTTCATCTAAATGTTTATTCCATTCATATACTCAAAAAAGATTAATGAACAAAAAAAAACAGTATTAGGGTGAATGAACTTGCAACGGGTCACAAATCTTTGCTAAGATTTACGAAGAGAATTCTACAATATTGTTGTGGAAAAATAAAAATTTGTGCAAAGTTTTGATTCTAAATCTTAAAAACATATACATCGTTTTACTTTTCTGTACTGATTTTGAAGATTGTATAGAACATACAGTGAAGTGTACCATCTTTTCTGAAGCTGGGAATCCAATATTTTCGTTCTTTTTCTGTTTTTGATTAATGCATAATCTTTGAAGTATTTTATATCGGTCGACGAAAAGTAATTCTTTTGAGATCGTTTTAACTTCGAAAACAACGATTTTCAGGACTCACCATCTCAAAAAACTAGACTTTGTGCATCTTTTTTCAAAATATTTCACATTTGTGTGTAGTCTGCTTATAATTAACTCATTTTTAGTATATGATGAAGTTAGAATCATCTGCTAAGACATAGTTTGACTTGGTTCAAAATACTTGATCGAGTTTATTCGAGATATAATCGATATGACTAATTTGAAAGAATTCTGTGTTTTTCATGTGTTCGTCAGTCATTTGCATGTCTGCTAATAGCTTTTCAGCCTTCTCCTCTCACCCTGTTTAACATAGATATGAAATCAAAGTAAAACAAAATATAACTTTTAATCGATATGCTGCCTTGTTCTGACTGCATGGATCTCACAGATCTAAGAAAGTACTTACTGAGCACGGAACTAACGTCATCGAATGCGTCGTATTCGAAAACCTGTTAAAAATTTAACAACAAGAAAAATAATATGCATACTCGAAAGAAAATCGAAATTTAATTTTGTTTGGCATTTTTCTGAAAAATTGAATTTTCGAAAAAAAAAAGGAAAGCTACTGTTTCATTCCCGTTTCAACGACATAATAAGAGGTACCGAGCTGAAGCTTGTCATGATGATTGGCCATGATGCATCTCCAGATAGCTGCCAATGTTCTCTTACTTGTGTATTTGTGCATAGTGTTTTGTCTTATCTGCTCTTATGTTTTGTTGTGATCCACTTCTTTATTGCTTTTTTTCTTCTTCTTTCTCCTTTAGTCTCTTTTGGCGCATCTCTCTCAAGGAGATCATCGGTGTATCATGGCATATGAAAGGAAGACAATACTGCGAAGGGAAAGTGAGGTAGACTGGTCTCATGTTATTTATGCCAAAGTGTATGCTTTTCTGTTTTGAATAGCCATGACATATATTCAATTAGTTGACAATCAAGCTAATTTTTCTAAGGCGATCGATCTAAGTAGATAACAAATGAAAAAAAACTGTGTTTTGCGTATGAAATTATATCTGTTGCGGGTTTATTTAAATATTTTATAGTGTCATTCTGGAAACGATTTATTCTTATTGAATAGAAAGTAATTTGCTGGCGAATGATTTCTGAAAATTGACTGTTTTCTGTCTATCACTCTTAACAATAATTGTCTATGCAATTTATTCTATTGTAATCTTACGTTCTTGTTTCTCATAGCATTATTGTCATGCTAATATCATCATTATATACACATTGTGCCAATAAATGTCTTACCAATGTTATCAGGCATATTCTTAGAATGTTTGGCTAGGAGGATCAAATTTTTCTCGGCTAGTTTTAATGAGACTTTTTGCTCCTGTACAATAGATATAACACTCATTATTTATATTCATCTTTGTTCACATTTAATAACTATTCTGAATAGTGAGAACAATGAAACGAAGAATATGTATAATTAAACCAAGACTTAATTGACTTCATCCATAAAAGTTAAATGATTTATTGATTTGACAAATTGATCAATAATTTTTTCGATATCTTATTGTTGAATGACTTTTTTATGAATATTGATAGTAGCTAAATTACGAAATCTCTCATCACTTATTCTATCGCGTACATAAGTTTCAATTAACTTCATGACAGAAAAGGGATGCTCGGTAGCGTATCTATCGACACTAATATTTGACATCTGAATTTGAATGAAAATAATTATTGATGCATTTGGTTGTTTTGAATAACATAATCTTTATGATATTCACATTTATCAGGATTCGATTAAATAATCAATAGCATCTTTTAATGATCTTATCGGTCTATAAACAAATTGACCGATATATTGATTTACTCCTTTACTTAAAAATAAAAAACAATAATTACAATAAACTCTTTAATCCATTTCGGAATATACCAGCTAAGAATATTTGGCAAGCCGTGAGTATTGACAGACTGATTGAATTTTTCCATTTTGTTCGTCTTTTGGAAAAATATAATTTGGTAGCGGACTTCATGATTCTGTTAATACTTGATTTAATAATGAAAAACCTGTCGTAGCTAGTTGATTTGAAACATATCTTCATCTTTGATAGATATATTAATAATGATAGAAGAATTGTGATTAACAGACAATGAAGAAATAGCAGTTGAAACCTGTTTGATATTATCGAGTTCGAGTTCGTTGTTGTTATAGAAATTATCTGTTGTTAATTGTTGTGAGACGTCTTTATCTAAATCATTCTTAGATATTTTGTTTGATACGAACTATATACTAATACCTTTCTGTTGTTCTTTCATTATTTTTTGATAAATATTTGCTGAAAAAAAAAATTATGTTGATATTGTTATATGTGAATCATAAAGTAGAAGAAAATACTTGTGATTATATGCATCATATAAATATTCGACATTAATTATAACAAACAAACTGTTGGCAAAAAGATACAATTCACATTGACTATTCGACACAAATGTAGGTACCAGCCAAACACACACATTATAAATATAAAGTGCAAATTTTCTTGAGAGTAATGTGTTCTTATTTATTTTTTTTTTAGTAGAATCTAAGTTGATAGCTGATTACAGATTTTTTTTTCAAATGTAAAAAGATGTTATTCACGGATACATTCAGTAGTGATTATTAGTACAACATAAGGTTGATTTTATTCTGTTTTATATTCACCATCAGTAATTATCAAATAGGACATCTAGTTCAGTTCGAAATAAAAGACAAGTTATTGACAATACAAAAAAAAGAAGAAATTAATTATTTCTTCAAATACATAATTAATGAATTCTCATTCATTTTTTAAACGTATGCCTCAATCAAATTCGAAAACTAATATTTATTTACTGAATGCTAATGTAGGTGAAAATCGACATTTTATAAATGAATGTCTTTCACAATCATTACTAATACCTCAAATCATTCATCATTGTTCTCTGGATGGATACAGTGAAAAAATGTTTCAGAACGTAAATATAGTTTTTCTATATATATATATGTATATATATATATATATATGAAATTGATTTTATTCTTTAATAAAAAATACATAAACAAATAAATACTACTAATCATCTTATTTAAAATAAAATAAATATCAATATTAATCACTGTCATCATCAAAATCTCCACTTACACTTGTAGCCGTTCTTGCTAAACGTTCTTCTTGATGATCACTATCATGTTGATTACTCACTGATGTGTTCATATTTTCTTTTTCTGCGTGATAAATACGACTTATTTGTAAAAGCATATTTCCAATTTCTGGATCATTCAAATAATTAGTTATCGATGTTGGATTTTCTGCTATTTGTAACATAACTAAAAATAGAAAAATTAAAGATTATTTGTTTATTTTTATTCAAGAATAAATCTATATATATATATTATATACTAAAAAATGTTTTTGGACTATTCAATGTTTTTTGAACAATAGGATTTTGCATAATTGATTGAAATATACTTGAGTTTGGATCAAGACCTTGTTCAGCTTCTGCATCATTCATATTTTGTTGTTGCTGTTTGTCGCTAAGAAGATATTCACACTGAAAATGAAACAAATTAAATAGAAGACAAAGTAAACAACAAATTAGTTTCGTTTTTCATACAGCTAAATTTTTGTCATTATTAAACATTCGTAATGCAGTAACAATATCATCATGTGCAAAACCAATTTCTTCTAATGATTGAATTGCCTATTAAAATAATCAAAATAGACAAATTTTGAAAAAAGAATACGAATTGAGCTTTCTTACTTTTGCATTAGGTTGAAAACGTTGCTGTCGAAATTTTCGAACTGATACAAAAGAACCATTACGTGTAAATAATGGTGTTCTTACAGTTTCCTATACAACAAATAAACAAAAAAGTTATTCAAACTTCTGTTAAACTCACTGGCTTATTATTATGATTGGATTCATTTTCATGATGATTACTTTCATCATCATCGTCATCATCATCATCACCGCCAATATCAGGTTGCGTAAGAAGTAATTCCATAGCGGCATGAAGATCATATCTAAATAATAAAACATTTAATTGTTTCGAATAATTTTATTTGATATTAAGAAAAAAAAACCTTGTTCGTTTAAGTCCAATTCGTGCTTGTTGTTCAGTAAAACCCATATCGATTAATTTACTTATTTGATGACGGCGTGTTTCTCTATCACCAGCATTCACTGACACTGTTGTTGGATTATTTGATTCATCTGATGAAGATCGTAAAAGAAATTCTAATCAAAAGAATTAAATACAAGGAAAAAAAAGCAAAAATAATATTTATTTTACCTTCAGCTTGTTTAAAGATATTTTCAGCATCAGGATGATACCATAGTAATTTTTGTGAGGTTTCAATCAGAGTAATTAAAATACGATTCAGATCAGTACGAAACTATAGATAACGTAACGAATTATTTCTTACGAATTTCATCAAAAATAATATCTACTTCAGTTCGAGCAGTAGAACGATAATCTCGATTGAACAAACGTGAAGATTGTGGAAGATCTTGTGTTCGATTTTCAATTAATGCTGCATCAATAGTAGAAGGAGTTGAATTCTATTGAATTGAAAAAAGTATATATTTGAAGAAAAGAAAACAAGATTAATTTTGATAACTTTAAATAAAATCTCGAAAATGACGAATTACAAATTGCATTCTATCCACGAATGTGCAGCATTTATGTGAACAATTAGTTACCAAAACAATGTTCACGGCAGCATTGATTACACTGGCATCACTGTAAACTGAAGCACTAATTATCCTAACATCCGTGTACACTGCAGTATTGCGACACGAACTCTTTCAAAATATGCTCTTTTTTTGTAGCGGTATGTTCCATTGCTTCAGTAAACACTGGTGCCAGTTTGTCAATATGCACTAACAACATTGATTAAAAGGTAAGTGATTTTTGTTCTAAATATTGACTCCTATATTCAGACAGATTTTGTGACTGTTAATTTTCATCCAAATAAAAGCAATGTGCAAAATGATTTTTAGTATTAAAAAAGTATGTGAATTTCTAAAATTTATCTTGCAAAAATAAACTTTTTATACTTGTTCAGATTTTGGGCTTTGTACTATACGTTTCATGGCCAAGAGATATTCATCTAGAAGAAATTTAAAATAAATCTTCGATGAAATCAATTTATTTTTCTTAATCGAACCTCCATCTTTAACTTTTTGCTGTCCTAAAGTTTTTTCTTCATCAACCGTTCGTTTTGATGAAATCGAGATTAAGTTATAATTATCAAATTCATCGAGTGATGAATTATGTCGACCAGTTGCAATGGTATTGAATGATGATCGACGATAATTTGATAAATTACTATTATTATTATTATTATTATTATTATTATTGTTATTTATTAAAAATTGTCTAACAGCTGAATATTTCACATCAGCAAATGTTGTTTTTTCTAATGGAAATGTTTCTTCAAATACTGAGCCTGTTTTATACCAAATTTTCAATGTAACATGATGTAAATGATCATTAAACATTGTACTGATCGCTCCTCGCATTTTCTATTTTATATATGTATATATATATATATAAAGAAAATCTAGAAAAAAAAAGATTTCTTTCATTGATTATCTGTTGCATTAAAAAGTTTTTAATACAACAGAATACATACACACAAATAATTTTCTTTTTCTCTCATTTCGGCATATATATATCTGTAGGTTGAGAAAAGAGAGAGAGAGAGAGAGAGAGAAGACAAAGTAGAGACAGTGCACAAACACAAACAAATATTTTTAATCAATGCAAAAGACGTTAAATGTTTCGTTTTGTTTTTTTTGTTTTATTTTCGAAATACATATCAGTGTTGTAAGAAATGAACTAGAAGACGCATAAGAACAATGTATACAAGTTAAACAATAGACTCACACACACAAAAAATGTACATAGAAAAAAAACTACAGTAATCAATTACATCTGGTAGAGAAGAAAGCGAACTATGTAAAAAAACAGAAGACGAAAAGAAGTTTGATTTTCTTTTGTTTTGTTCTTTGTTATTCAAGGATTAATTTAGATTAAGATATTGACCATTTTCTTTCAGCCAATCAACTGCACAAGCTTTAACGTGTGCAGTTATACCTTGACATTTGAGAGATTTCCGACATTGAACATTAGGCTAAAATAAATTATCTAAAAATATTTGAATTTAACTTAAATTCTTATTTCTTACACATTCATATTCTCCTTCAGCATTTTTCATTAATAAAGTAACTATTTTATTTTTTCCACTTCGCCGTTTTTTAACAACATTTGCAGATGATGCAAGTTGTTGAGATGATCGATCATGATGATGTGAATTTGTTTGATGATGTGTTGCATGTCCACTATGTGTATGATGTGGTTGATGATGTGATGGAAGTTTATTAGTACCACTACCATTTTGTTGATTATTTATATTAAGATGAGTACCTGTTACATGATGATTTGTTGCACCAGCGGCAAGTGCAGCAGCAGCAACAGCAGCTGTTGATGCAGCTGCAGCTTGTTGTTGTGTTGTTTGACTAATATAACCACATTGATGTTGTATAAGTGCAGCTTGAGACATTGATATTTTCCCAACAGTTGCCCATCGTTCTAATAATTCACATAATGTACGTTGTTTTTCATCAAGTACTTGAGCCGTTGTTGATGATGGTTGTTGTTGAGATGTTGTTAATAATGCACGAATATTTGCTTTAACAATATTTGTTTCTATTTAAATAGAAAAAAAAATTAAAACAACGAATTTCATAGATATTTTTTTTTTTGAATTGAAAATTAAAAAAAAATTCGTTTGTCAATTTTTACCATTAATTAATTGTTCAATTTCGTATCGTAATAAATTTTCATGTTCATGTATATGATCAATACATAATAATAGATGACAATGGGGACCTAAGATTTCATAAAGAAAATTTTTCAGTAAAATAAATAATCAAAGAAAAAAAAAATAAATCTTACAAGAAACATAAAGATTTCTTGAACATGTTAATAAACCATTTTCATTTCTATGTTGACATTTAACTGATATTGTTTGACATATACCAGAAAAATAAAGTGATGATGCTTGATCATCAGCTGCTTGTTGTGTTGCAGCCATATGTGTACCGGCTGCCATTTTATTTGAAAATCCAAAAGAGTACGTTTTTATTATTATTTTCTTAATGTTATGAATCAAGATAGATAATTACATACACGCAAACACATACACACACACACACACACACAAAATAAAATTTGTTAAATAAATAATTATATTTAAGATAATGTCTTTTCAATTTGATATTAAATAAAAATATGAATATTTGAACAAGACAAAATAGATATACGAGAATATAAATAATGATTTGAATAAATTTCGAGATTGATAGCTATTTGACAAAAGATATTCCAGTTGATCCAATTTCAATATCCAGATTTTATTTTTTAAGTGTTTAGTATCGTCGACCATAATGAATTATTTTTCATATTAGTCATTTATAGAGGTCTTTAAACATCTATGCATTTAAAGGTAACTAGCGACATCATACATGTCGTAATCAATTGAAAATAGCGTGACATTATAAATTTCAAAAGAAGAACTTATCGTTTAATAAAATTGATTCAAAGAAAACAAAAAAAGTATCGATTTGAATTTCTATGAATAAATAAAGTGTCAATGAAATGGGCTGACTAAATGTCATCTGATGAAAAATTAAACATCGTTATCTTTTTTCTATTTTATTTTTGGTTTTTTTTTTTACTGATATCTATTGTAAATAAGTAGAAGATATTTATAAAACAAAAAAAGAAAGAAAAAGTATAACAACGACTTAAAGTGAAGATTACATTTTAAAGAAATAGAAATAAAACACAATGAATTTTCTGATATTTTCTCTCTCTCTCTTTATTATAATTTTCTTCAATTATTCAATTGGAAGATCAATTGATGTTGCAGATCATAAAACAATGGCATTTAACTCAGAAAAGGCTATCAGACGTACATATATACAGCTAAATTTTTTCTTTTAAAAAGATTTCAAAATATCTTATAATTATTTGCATATCTTTAGTTGAGCTGACAACTGAAAATGCAACAGCTGCTGGAAATACAACGAATACACGTCCATTACAACAACAAAAAACCACAACATCGATTAATTATGTTTCTACTGTTGTTCAAATTGTAGTTCCAGTAACTATAGCTGGTGTAACACTATTACTTGGTTTTGGTCTAATTACTTATGCTCTCATAACAGGTGACAATCGTATATTTTTCCTAACACGTACTAATTGAATGTTCACATCTTTAAAACAAGTATTTAATCATAAACTATATCGTTTGTATTCATCAGAAGGGTTAACCTATCATTTATTTGAATGTATGCATATTTAAACTTATATGTTTTGTTGGTTCATTCAAAATCAGTATACAAAAAAAAAGTAAAAGGTGCAACAAAATACACACAAACAAATGCTGCTGATATTTTGTTTTTTTTTTAATGTTTGGTTATGATTATTGAGCACTCATGTGTATAAAGGGTTAGAAAAAAAAAGAAAAGAAAAGGAATTTAGACGAAAAGCAATGAAATTTAATATGATCCGATCTCCGATCGTTTGATGTCACCAGTAATCGATAGATACAAATGAAATAAAAAGTAAATTATTTTTCTTATAGATAATGATTGAAGAGAATTTTTATTTGAAAAGACGAGCACGCATTTGTTTGATACCATCTAATTTACGTTTCATATTATTTAATTCATAACGATTTTTTAACTAAAAAAAACATAAAGAATAAAGAATTTTATTTGATGAAAATAAAATAAAACATACAGCTTCAGCTTCCATTTGATAAAAACGTGTTGCAACACCATCCGAATTAAGAAGCGATTCACGAGATACATCACTTCGTTCACGAATATCAAAAATTTTATCGGCACATTCATCATTAATACGTAAAAATTCTCTATAAGAAATTATAGAAAATCTTCTTTAAAAAGAAGAAAAACAATAAATTTCAGCTTACTTTCCAGCTTCGGCTTGATCTTCACATCGCCATGTTGATGGTTTATGATCAACTTGTTTGCCTAATGATTTATATTGTGAACCTACTTCATTGACATGGTTTTTTTCAAGCCATGCATACTAGAATAGTAAATATTAAAATGTAAGAATTGTTTTTGTTTTCAAAGAAAATAAACTAACTTTATTTTGATAACGATCATGAAATTCTGCACGGTCGCTACCAGAAAATGGAGTTAAACCAGCATCCAAAAAACGTGCTGGAGATGTGTAATTTGAATTACGAAGACTATTTGATGCTGATGATGAATATGAATCGTAAGATGAACGCATCTTTTCTATATTTTTCTATGCTCTTGTAAAAATATATCTATATAAATTGTATAAACAATATTATTTTACTAGAAACGTAATAGAATACAAAAAGAAAGAATAAGAAGAATGCACAACTAATGAACATGATTGATTGATTGAGCGATAACAGCTGCTATAGTATCATTACACATCGACATGGAAAAAAATGATCGCTTTTATATACAAAATTTCGAAAGATAGAAGGGTATTTATGTATTGTTTGAAAAAAATTTGCTCATAATACAAGAATTTTTATTTTTAATATAAAATCGACCTTCACTTACATCGAATTGTTATTTTGAAGATATCTTTCTCTCTTCTTTTCTTGTTGGATACCAGCAACACAAGCACGAAGTTGTCGAACGAAGTCTGTTATGTTGTTTTGGGAATTGTAGTTTCTTTTTTTTCTTTTTCTTTTTCTTTTTCTCTCTTTCTTTTTAGTTCTTAATATCGTCACAAGAAAAAAAAAATAGATAGCCAAGCTCGACTATCACAAAGATCACGTATAGCAAGATATATAGAAAGAAAGACGCAGTAATATTCTCTGTGATCTTTTCCGACATGCATATTGAGAACAACAAGCAAACGACAATAACTAGAAGACGGATATTCTATGTCTATATGTGTTTCTAGTCCTAAAAATAAGATGACGATTTCCTTCTTTTTTTTCTCTTTTTTTTTCTTTTTCTCGCTTAGTTGCAGTAATATCCATCGATGATGATGATGATTGGGAAACCGGTTGCTATATATGCTTGCCTCATGGCCAGATAACTGACGAGTCGATAAAAATAACACAGACAAGAATAGGAAAAAAAAAAGAGAATAGTACATTTCGATGCACTAAACGATTCTTTTGGTAGTTAACAATGATATTTTTGTTAGAATAGGAAAAGTAAATACAAGATCTTTTAACAGAAAATCTCTATGTCAAAGCTTAGAACTTTGTGTTGAATAAATAGATTTATTCAATTTTATGATGTAATATTGATTTTTGTACAATGAAAATAGATGATGATTGTGATATTGATATTCAATCTGTTTCTCTCCCGCCTGCTGATGTTAGCCGGATGTCATCAAGGACCTTTTTTTTTTTATATCTATCCAACAAGTGAGAGCATTAGTGAGAGCGTAGGTGGATGTCTGTATCTACAGACAGTAGCATTGAATCAATAAAGTCCATACTTGAACAGACAGAATTCCAACTGTGTTACAACATTATGTTGTTCTTATTATTATGATTATGAATGAATTGTTATTTTGTTGCATAATAACATTTAGCTATGCTTTTCAATTATTAGAAATTTGCCTTTATTCATTGATTCTATTATAATACAAATTACATAAAATTATTTAGCTTTCAATCATTTTCTAATGTTTCTTTTATTAAATTTGAAAGATAGTCTGATATTTTGTTTTCATATATAATGAACTTTGAGATTAGCTAAAATAAACAATTTCTTAAATATGATGATCATTTGTTTATCTTTTTTCTTTTATGCTGTCAATTGAAACTATTTGGAGAAATGACTTAAGTGTCAAATATCGATAATACATAATTTAGATATCTTTACTGCAACGTAAATCTTTCATATTCTCCATTAATTGATTCGTATTTATATAAATCGTTCATTATCGATATGTATCTTCAAAGTCATTTCAGGCATCTGTATTTAAGGTCAACAGGAACCAAACAAATGAACCTTTTTACTGATATGCATTCTTTTGTAGCATTAAATCGTGTATATATATCATATCGATTTTCATCATGAATTCATATTGCTCAAACAAAATGATATATTCTTTAAATCTATTAAATTGATCTGTGATAATGTTGTTGTAATTGAAATACATGTTAGTTTCAGAATTTTTATAGTATTCAATAGAAATCGAATTTTTCTTTTTATTAAGACCAATATTTATTTGAAAAAAAAATATTTTGCTCGAATGCAAAGACATTCATTTTTAAAAATCGACATATCAAATTGAAAACTAGTTCATCAATAAACAAAATTCGATGTATTGTTGTATATATTGGTCATCTGACAATAATCTAGATTGTTTTGTAAATTGAAAGATACTATCGTCAATTCAATAATTGTTTTCAGCGATAAAAAAATCTGATTGAAAGAAATAGACAAATGGAGCGCGAATGAGTTACTTTTTGCTATTGAGTCTATCGCTATAATCTGATTGATTATTAAGTAAATCAAAAGTAACTAATTTTCAGCTTTTTTTCCAAATCTGAGGTTGTCATCGCCTACGCGTTATATGATGGCAACAATCATCAATCAATCCTGTATTTATTCATAATCGTCATTACGGCGCTGTTGTAGGAGATGAAGGAAGTTATTATTGTATTTTTCACTCTTCATTGACAAAGGCTTGAGTGTTTTTATTCCATATTATTTTCGATGAAAAGATATTTATGCCTAACATTATTTACAACTTCGACAGTGGTTCATAGATTATATTACAAATATTAAATAGACTATATGCTCATCGTCCAACTTCAATCTTTATTTAAAAAAATGATTTAAGATATTCAGAAGAATAGCATAATTTGGCTTAATGAGAAACATCGGTAAATGACATGTCACTTTGAAGACGAGTCATCTTAACTCATTAGATAGGCTCTATTGGAATTAGAGAAAGCCTGAAAAAAGTCATACTAGTGTGTAGTTCTCCTTAAATTATGGCTTTTTCAGCGAGTTTCTCATTCAACCATTGCACAAATAAAGTTCTCAATGGCAATTGATATATCGTGAAAGTATCAAGTTTGCTAGTATTTTCTATAGTGAGATATAAGTATAAGAACAATGATTGCCTGTTTGTATAATAGCATCTTGAATATTGGTATCGAAAGAAAAGGTGACACTAGAAAATCTGACACTTTCACAATCAACTGTTCCTGTTGAAAATGTTATTTGTGTAAATTTCAAAGTTCATAGTCGATTTTGAAAATAATCGGAGAATGATATCAGACATTTTGTTAAGAAACTCATTAATATAGTCATACTACAAGACGAAAGATCCATGTCGATGAACCTTTTAAGACTTTCTCTAACCTAAACAGGATATGACTGGTGCACAGTGGGCATGATTTATTTTCTGTCAAAAACAAATTTTCTCCACAGAAATATTAACTTCTTATACTCAAGAATAAGATTGATGAAAACAAAATCATCTACGATAGAAAATTCGTGAGGGAGGCCATTACCATAAACCCCTATGAAAAAAACTTTTTTATTTTAAAAATTTACAAATGGTGCATCAATCGAAACAGTTATTCACGCTGATTCCAAACATGTCGTTTTTTGTCTCTCAAAGGGCTTTTGTAACAGAGAAAGGGCAAAAAAACTATAATAACCAAGGTGTTTAGAGCATCTGTACCTTAGTTCAGAAGCATTTACGGTAGCTAAGTGTATGTTCCAGATATGAAAGAACATGCTCTGAAAGTTTTATCGATATCAGATTAGTGAAAAAAAAAATGACGGTCAACTTTATTGGAGACGTCTTTTAGAAAAACGCTTAGCCTAAACAGATTAATTATATTTTCCTAACGGAAATTTTTCATATAAATCGATAGAGCATAAGTCCTAGTTTCCGACTATATATGATTTATTACTCATTTTTTTTCTAAAGATACTGAGTTTGCGACTAAGTTTTTTCAATGAATTTAGTCGTTGGGACAAGTTGTTTTTTTACCAAAAATCTGATCATTAATCAAAATGTATAAGTTATTATTCAAATTTCGGAAAAGTTCACTTTCATTGTTTTCATTTAATGTACATGTTATTGCCGACTGAGTAAAGAGTGAACCCTAAGCCAAAAAAACCATTTTATCATTTGGTAAAGTTTTGTCGTATGTTTATAGATTTAATCTTTCATTCACACTAACATACAAATAAATGTTTGATTCGTTAATGATCAATAAGTTTATTCTTTTTCCAAAAACCTACAGAAAACATTCACAAAACAACAAATCGTCTATGTTTATATAATTTATATTTAAATTTGATTTTTGAGTAAGTCAGGAAATTTTGTCATAAATTTATCAATTTTACTTTTAACAATAGTTGAACAATAGCCTTGATTTGGATTTCTATTAAAATAATTTTGATGATATTCTTCAGCAGAATAAAATTGATTCTTATCAATTGGTAAAATTTCTGTTACAATTGGATCTTTATAAACGTTTTCATTAGTTAAATGTGCTTTAAACATTTCACTTTCTTTTTGTTGTACTGGATCATGATAAAATATAACAGAACGATATTGAGTACCAATATCAGCACCTTGTCTAAAGCCAATAAAATTCCTAATTCATTCAAAACAATAGATATTTTTTTTTACCGATCTTTTGTAGTTGGATCATGAATATTAAAAAAAACATTTAATAATTGTTTATAAGCGATTGTTTGTGGATCAAATATGATCTGAACAACTTCAACATGATTAGTAGTTCCAGTACATACTTCTTCATAGGACGGATTTGTTTTATTACCACCAGCATATCCAGAAACAACTGTTTCTACACCTATAACAATCAAATAATTGATTTTATTCTTATAAAAATTTCTTGTGTTTTTTTTTGCCTTTAAGACGTTGAAAAACGGCTTCAAGACACCAAAAACATCCTCCACCGAATGTAGCTAAATTTTTCGTCACTGACATTATCTAAAACAAAATTATTACTAAAAATTTTTCTTTTTTTACACATTAATATTGAACACAGAGAAAAATGTTGTTGGTTTTTTTTATTATTAATTTACATAAACATTGATAAACAAGGATCTTTTGAAATCCATCCTGTAGAATAATAAAGTTCAAAACCACGAAAAATTTGATATTTACATTGTTCATATATAACTGATGATTTCTTAATTTGATCATAATTTTTATTATTAGTTGAATATATGTTTTTATATAATTGAAATATTTCCGATTTACATAAACGAGATGGTTCATTATTTGGTCTAATGAATAAAAATTATAAAAAAAATGATTTTAATTATATGATGATTCTAGGGTATATGTGACAGTTTATACATGACTTCCTTCAAATTGATTTTCACATTTCGAATCATGTAGAGCATAGACGATTTACTTACTATGACGGCAAAAAATGCGCTATAAATGCTCGTATTGAAAAGAATATGGATTCACAAAATTAAAGGAAAATATAGCTAATACTATATACGAACACCGCAAAAAAAAGGTCAAAATGCCCTTCATCATGTATCTCTAACGTAAAGTTCGAGCACACAATGACATAGTAGGTTTTGTGAAACAAAATTCGCTCTATACGCCTGCATATAACGCTTTTTTTCGCGAGAATACCAACTAAAAGCAAGAAGTCATTGTAGCACGAAAATATTATCATATAATAGCATATATATATAAACGTTTAATTTGATTATTTATGATAATATTTTCATACTAGCATGACCATCTATTTGACATTCCCGCGAAGAGTGTTATACATAGGCGTGTAGTGCGAGTTTTGTTCTACAAAACCTACTAAGTCACAATATTTCCATGTTTTGAATTAAAGATATATGATGAGAGACATTTTAACCTTTTTGCCGTGTTTGTATATAGTATTAGCTTTATTTTGCTTTAATTGTGTGAATCGCTATTCTATTCAATTTAATAAACTAGAGAGTATCTTTTGTCATTATAGTAAGTAAGCCAATTATGATCTACACGATTTGGAAGAATACGATGCCAATATGTCACATATAAGGTCGAATCGTCCTATATTCTTCTTACTTTCGTTTTCCTAATGATGGTTCAATTAATTCAATAGTGTTATCTTTAATATTCCAATTAAGACTATCATATGAATTATTATTATTTCGATGATTTTTTTCTGTCCATTTTAATTTAGTATGTCCAATAAGAGGATGATTAAGACGATAAGGTTCTGATAATGGATTTGAATTAAAATATTCTTGCAATCGACAACATAAAGCTCGACATAAATGGCCATAATGAAATGGAAAACCTTAAATAAATATATTTTATTTTATATTACTAATAAAAAACAAATAAGAAATTGCAAATACCAATTGTAATAGAATGTAGATAAACGGGTTGAATTACATTTGAAAGAACTGCACCTTGTATACCCAATACATTCCAACGAAAAATCTTATCTGAACATGACATATGTCGAACATGTTTACCATTTGCAATAGCATCAAGAGATAGAATAGTACTTTTCGAATCTGTTGGAATTGTTCCTTCACCTTTAATTAGTTTGTTAATAATAAAAGAAAAAAAAATGATTTCAATCCAATATTTATATATATCTACAAACCATTTTCAATTTTAGAACGAAGTTGCCCTTGTACACGTGCTGTTCGATATAATTGATGTTCATCTCTTATTAATGCTTCAGTTATTGTATCTCTCGGAGTAAATAATGCTGAATCACCACATGGTGCAAATGATGTATAAAAATGAATACGTATTGTAGGTTTCAACACTAATTTTTCATTATTTCCTTTTTCAAATATTGATTCTGTATTTTTTCGAAAAGATTCTAGTTGCCCATATAAATATCTTAAAAAATAATAATATGAAAAAATATTTCAAATATATTAATATATTTACAAACCTGATAAAACCTCGACGAGCTAATTGTTCCGCATGACTATCATGAACAACTAATCCTTTTGGTGATAATACTGAACCACCAACACATTTATTACCTATAAATTAATATTTAAAATAAAATATTAATAAAGAATATTATTAACCTATAGGATAGAGAAGAGTATGACGATCAATATTTTATATCATAATTAAACTATATAATGGATATACAAGCTACTTAAAAACTATCACATATGAAATATAATACGGTCTCAATTACAATGCATAAGTCATATGAGAAAAAATAATTACTCAATATCAAATAACTGATGTAGAATCAAGGGCAAGTGAAGTCTACTCTAATAAAATAAAATTACAACAGACCTTAGTAGGCTAAATACGAAACGGTCAAGTATTCATGTAGGTTATCCAAATGAATGTCACAAACGCATAACCTGTTTTACTTTCATATCAACTTATTATAACTATTTAGGGCATGCCGCCACAGGTAGTGGCGGAGGTATTTTAGTTCGTTTTAACAAGTTAAATATCTCCTCTTCAAAAATCGATTTGGGTCAGGCACATTCAAACCGCATGAAATTTTGAAGATATATTGGAGCTGTAGTTAAGAGTCTATGCTAAAGTTTTCAGCCCTATATCACGACGTTTTCGAAAGATATCCAACAAACAAGGGTCAACAATGGCTTATATGCAAATCCCAAATTCTCTTTAGATCCTCATTTTATAAATTCTTTTTTATTTGAAAGAGTATGTCAGAATGCAGCATCTGACAGATGTCTTCTTTTTAATTCTTACTTTTTATGCGGAGAAAAAGGATGACATTTTTAATACCTCAAAAAACTCTAAAAAAGCGATTATTTATTTATAGAAATGCTTTTTTATATAGTTAGTAGAAAGCTTAATTCAAAATACGGGCTTTGTCAGTCATTGCATCTTCACATGTTCATTCAAAAAGAAAAGAAAATGGATTGACTACAATGAAGCTCTTTCAAGAAATCTAAAATGCACGATCAAAAAGTATAAACAGAGAAAAAGCAAAATAAATCTTGCTCTTTTTCTTCAAGAAAAGCATGTTTTTCATGCAGAAGGTGCCTGAAAAATCATATCGTTGATGACAGCTCAAGTTTCAGGCTATCTTCCTATATATTCATCTTAATTTTGATTTTTCTAACGAGAATTTACTTTTTTTGAGAGGCGAGAGCTTAAACAAACTGTCTCTCTATATGGTCTGATCATAAAAATGATGCTCTACATTTCTCTGATATTTGATCTTTCTTTAACTAATATTTAAATAATAAAATTTCGATAAGAGCTGTTTGTTATGATATCTGACGGCAATACTAGATAACATAACATTTAGTCTTCGATGTGTATCCTCTTCGCGATGTTCTCTTTGTTCTTCCACTCAGTCTTTTTTCTGATCTCCTCTAATACCTAGATGTCTACTAATATTAAGGTATACAAAAAAGTGGTGCTGATAGAACAAAAAATGTAATACAGAAACAAGTTCATTAAGTTTTTACTCATTCATCTCTCCTGATCAGACGTCATGTGATTTTTGATTATTCAACCTAATCAAATAAAATCTAAATGATCGAAAAAATTCAAAATCATTGCATTGTGCTGCAAACAAGTTTATGAATACGTGAAGAATATTAAAAAAAAACGTTTGATCCGTGATCTCAACGAATGCAAGTGAGTATAATTCATCAGGGTGTTTGTTTTGAAGATTTAATGATATAAAAACTTAATGAACTTGTTTCTATAGTTATTTTCTTATTCTACTACCATCACTTTTTGTATACCTTCATATTTATAGACAGCTAGACATTAGAGGAGGCGAGAAAAAAAAGAGACAATCAAGAGGATACAGATTGAAGACAAAATGTTATCTAATGTAATTGTCACATGTCATAACAAACAGCTCTTATCGAAATTTTATTATTATAATATTAGTTAAAAAAATGATCAAATATCAGGGAAATCTAGAGCATTACTTTTAATATTAAATCATATAGAGATAAAGCTTCTATATAGGAAATTAAAATACCTCAACTACTATTTTTGATATATCCTAAGTGTGTATTTATTTAAAATAAATTATTAGTGTTTATTAAGACTTCTTATGCAATGATGTGGCTAACGGCCGTGAAAAACGCTTGAATAATTCCAAAAATTGTACGCCATGAGAGTTAATACACATCAACGATTTTCATAGAGATTCTTAAATATATATATATATATATATCTCATTTGAGTAGAATTGAATGAAGTCATCACAACAAACTTAAAGAAAAAAGATGATTCGTTCTTCTTCTTTGTTCTTACCATAGGAAACAGAATTTAATTTCAATGTTTGACTCTTTACAGTATTCATTTTTTTTTACCTGTTGCTAGACTAATAACAGTAAATGTTTGTTCATCAGTTTTTTCTAGAACAAATCCAGCAAGAACTTTACAACCAATAAGTTCTAATAATACACTAATACATAAATCTCGATATGTTGATAAAACTTTCGATGCAATGCGATCAAACAATGCACAATCATTTCTTGTAATAAATTTCTAAAAAGTAAGTTTTTTTATTTGAAATAAAATAAGAATTGTATAATTTTACTTGAGATTGTCTTGCATCTAGTGATAATTGATAAAAAACTTTATAAGCTGCTTCTATACATGCTTCACGTTTTGTTGATGCCAATGCAGCTGAAAATTGTCTATCATCAAGAAGAACAGCTACAGCAAAACTAAAAATTTCAAATAAAAAAACAAACAACAGTAAAACATGAAAATAATTTTAATTAAATACTCACTTACATTGGTTGATGGCTTTGTCCAGATTGTGAAATTAATTGAAATGATAATTTTTGTCCATTTAATTGAGCATATTCATGCAAAAGTGATAGAGAATTTTTTGATAGAATAGTTATTGATGGATCTGATTTAAAATTGAGTATAAAATCATCATAAGATTGTTCAATTGTTTGGGTTTCATCATCATCATCCGTTAATATTCTCGACATCTAAACCATATAATCGAATAAATGAAATATTTTATTTTAGTTCATATCTTATTTATTTAATAGTTAGTTTGAAGAAACTCTTTTTTAAGTTTCAAGCCAAGAAAAATCATTAAAAGTCCAAAAAATCTGCAGAATTTCTACGTGAAAAAAGAAAAACATTCGATGACATTTCTGTTATGAAGCATTAACTTGAGAAAAAGAAATTATATTTTGCATTTATCTCTATAGAAGACAAACAAAGTTTTAGCAAATGTAATCAACATTCTTTTTCTTCTCTTTTATATGCACACACTATTTCTTAGGAAATAAAAAAAAAAATTGAATACATACCTGTAAATCTGTTTGTATTTGATAAGAGAATCTGAAGTAAATTTTTTATTTAAAAACATTCTGTTTCGCTTTAATTCAAGTGCTTAGTGTTCTGATTTAAAGCTGCTAAAATGCTTTCTTTTAATGCAGAATAAGAGAAACGAACAGAAAATAAAATAAAATCTAAATATTTTTATATGAGTAATTCCATCAACAAAAAACCAACTAGTTTATATATCTATGTGTATATATATATGAGAAGTGTACAGAGATAAATTTTGTCATTGACAAACTGTTTCACCTAAACCGCAATAAAGAATACATATATTCGAAGAAGAAAAGAACAAAACAAAACTGAAGTCCAACTATTTGTTGGAACACACTGTTATGTTAAATAGAGATTGACAACCAAAGAGGTGAATACACGAAAGAGAGAAAAAAAACTGTACAGTGTCTTCAACAACAGATCGATTGAGATAGAATAGTTATCAGAAAACTCAATTTCAATTATTGTTCGTTTTTGTGGAATGAAAAATAGGGTTAAATTGTGGTGGACGGAGCCCAAAACAAAAAAAAAGCAGGAAAGAAAAATATTGACTTTCACCGGATGATAAACAGAAGAAAAAAAAAACTAAATGTTTATTATTATTATCATCTTGAGATTTTTGATAAACTTCTCGGCAATTGTTTTTGTTGGGGACTACTATTCGAACGATGTAAACTGGTGTAATCATCATCAGTTCGTACAGATAAACGATTCAAATAATACGGACGTTGATTTGATTCGTTATAATGATGTTGTGTATTTAAAATTCCATTATGAAAATGATCTTGTTCAAATATTCGTCTTCGATATTCTTCTTTGACACGTGCCGATTGTGAATAAAGTTTTTCAAATATTAAATGTAGATCATTCGGTCGAAATAATTTTATAAGTAATGCTTCAAAAACAATATATACAAATCGACGATTAAGAGTTTCATTTTGTAATAATTCAAATAAACGTAATAGACCACGACGAGTTGTTTCACTACCAATTATATGACGAAGTTCGTCTAAAGAAATAACCAAACATTGTCAAATCGAACATCTTCATCTATTCTTTTTACCTGAAACAATGCCGAGTAGTTTTGCTTTGCAGAGTACTTGCGTTACATTGCGTACACTTGCATCACGTTCAGGTGTTTTATCAGCTAAGACACCATTTGGCCAAAAGTCATCTCTAAGTAGAAGAAATTTTTTTTTTCTAGTTATCAGAAAATCTCATTTTGTTAATTTTATAATACTTGAAACGCTTAATTTCTTTAGCAATTTTTGGTGCTGATGTCCAATGTTGAATAAACGTTGCAATACGGCTAATTACGTAAAAACAAAATTAGAGAAAATAGAACTAATATGCAATCTACAAGCCCTTGGAAAAATGTCTAGCTCAGTTAACACCATATTGTTGACTTCTAAATTAAGGAAATTGTTTTTTGTTCGAAAGAGGAATGGTTGAAGTAGAAATTTTGTATCAGACATAACTCTCCAAAATGGATCTGACGAGGAGGAAAAGCCCAAAACCAAATGTGTCAAAAAAAAGAAGTTCTTATAACTTCATTATTGAACAACAGCACTTTTTATTTTCTGTTAATTGCTTTTAACTCAGAAAGGAAGTGAAAAAACACATTTAATGCGACTTTTTTTTAGCATAGAGAGTGCTCTTTTCCATGGTGTATTGAAAGTTAAATTTACTCTTGACGATAATGGCAAAATACAGCTTTTTCAAGGAGAAAAAAGTTGATTCAGTGATGGCAATGCACTAATTCCAAACATCAGTCAAAAATAATTCTGATTCTTAGTTTGGATATGACTGTTATAAAATTACTAATCGTAAATATTAACATAAGCTAACAATCTGATACCAATTTTTTAAAGGATACATCGAGTCAAACCCAAATTCAATTTTAGTCAAATTTAAGAATTGAATTTGGTACATCTCTATGCTGTGGCATTAGAACTATTTTGAGTCATTAGAATCATTTGGAATTAATAAAATCACGATATCAGCTGTTTCCCCATTGAGTTTTTTTCTAAACAAAGACTGAGTAACTTAGACGTTTTGGAAATGTAAAAAAACGTTTTTGGAATTATTTTCTTTGCTATAGTTCTATAATTTGAAATACTTTGAATAAGTAGCATAAAAAGAATTCAGCTCGCATATAATTTCTAGAATTGGTGGGTGATGTTCTTACCAACTACAATTTCTTGAGAAGGATCTTATTTTACAAAAATGCTTTTGATGATAGAGTCAATAACAGATCTAACAAATTTTTTCTAAAGCTGATATCAATAGAGGATTTTTCAAGTTGAAGAAGGCGTTACAAGAATTTTTTTCGAAATTTTTAATTTTTTGGACTTTGCCTTCTCTTCAAGTTTGTTCTGAAAAAAAAATGTTTGATATAAAATTTGTATTATTTCAGACATTGTTCTTTCTAGCAAACAAACAAGATTTTCTTGATTTAGAAGTCAGTAATATGATATAACAGAGTTTGACATTGTTTTCAAAGATTTTTGCATTGCATATTAGATAAATAAAAATATATACCGATTCACTGAATCGCCCATAAATGCTCGCAAAAATCGTTTTAATATTGATACAAATCTTGAACGGAACCACATATTTTTTTGTTTAAGATCAAATACTTCATCCATGATAACAAGTAGAACACGAAGTGGAATATTTTTAGCACTCTAATTAACAATAATAAGGAAATCGAATGTTTTTATACTGAAGAAGAAAAGAAAAATTTTATTATACTTCAGCTTGAGCTTCTTCAACACTAGGAAATGATTGCAAATCTCTTGTTAAATGAATATTTGTTTGATTAGAATTAAGTGCATTGGTTCGAAACAATTTTCCTGCATTTTCAACAACACTATCCGACACAATTGTTAATCCATCACCTAATTTTGATACACCTCTAACAATACCAATTGATGCTTGCTTAAATGGATTCACGATTGTATCCATCTGAATAAACGTTTTAAAAAGTTAGTTTAAAAATAAATATAGAAACAACAGAAAAGAAAAGAAAAGAAAAAAGAACATTTCGTGCAAAGCAACAAAAAAGAAGGAAAAGCTCTTTCTTGAAGTGATGTGTGCATATGCAAAAAGGAAAATATTGCTATTCAAGAAAAAGAAACAGGTGCAAACGTAACCAACCGTAGATGTAATAAGATCCTATAAGAAAATCAGAGATATTTCATTGGGAAAATCATAACAAGGGTTAGCTTTGAAATATTTAACATCACAAAGAATCAAAACATGACGCATGAATATTAATGATCTTATCGAGCAAGATATTGTGTAACTATAAAAAATAAAATATGTATATTTTATTCATTTTACCTTGCGAACGAATTCTGTTTGTTCATGTTTCCATTGCTGATTTTTTAAAAATTTCAATACAAGTTCACTAATTTGTGGATGATTTTGAAGAACTCTTGTTTTTGTTAACGTCTAAAAGAAAAATTCATTATTTAAATAGAAATTAATAAAAAATAAAGCAAATTATCTTTACTGATAAATAATCATTCAATTCTTTTTGTCGTTTTAATCGTACTTCTGCGCTTGTATTATTAATTAAACTTTTATGAGGTAAACGAAGAAATTCACGTAAATCAGGATATCGTTTTTTTATTGCTATATCAAGATCATTAAATTCACTATAACGACGATATGTTATCCATTCACGTCTTAAATCATCAATATTATTGCCATGAATATGTAATGGTTTACAAGACACAGATATAACATAAATGGCATATTTTTCACCTTTTTCACAACATACACCTGAATAAAAGAAAAGTATTTAAAATTTTTATCAAGAAAAAAGCTTCTTGTCTACCAGAATCATTTATTTCTGTTGTAATTGAATAATTATTTATATTATCAAGCATGTCAGGTACAACAGTAGTTGTACTGCTAATAATCGCCCCTGGAGAAGAAGGAATATTTGAATTATGTTGTTGTTCAGCAAAATCAGCTAAGATATCATTGCTATTATTACTTGATACTGAAGCAGCATCTAATTTGAAACAAGAAAAAAAAAATATATATTTTCTGTTTAAGAAAACAAACCTGAATTATCATTTAATGAATCCGTAAGATCAATTTCACTTAAAACTTTTAAATATTGTGATGTTGTTTTAAATTGTCCATAATATTTATCCGATGAAAGAATTTCAAAAACCTTTTAATCAATAATTGTTAATGAAAGAAAACTCCAAAAAAGAAACAAAAAAAAAATAATAAACATACTTTTGTTTGAAGTCCATCAAGTAATGTTTCATTCATTGATTCTGTTTTTAAAATTTTCAATGTTTTCTGTATGAGATTTTCATCCATTGGTAATTTCAATGTTCCCTAAACAATTTTATACATTTAAAATTTCATATTTAAAATTTTCCTAATTGACATTCACATTTTTTTTGCTGCAAAACTAATCAAATCTTTAATTCATCAAAAAAAAAGTATTTACATTTTGATTCCCAAATGAATTTCGCTGAAAGCTTTCTTATAATTGCTTAGCATATTAAATAATGTCTTATACCGTGATGGAACAAGAAGCGAAATATTCTCTTGAGAAAGTCGGAACATCTTCATTCACTAGAAGCATCAAATTATTCTTCACTAATAAAAAACATCTGTATAAAATGAATTATTTGATCTAATTAAGATAAAATTTCTTTCGTCTCATCTATAACCTTGAAAACAAATAGTTGTAGGCAGTATTTTGAATATATTTCTGTCATAAAATTAAATTTTTGTAAGAATAATTAAATATTCTAAGGACGCTCAAAAATCTCTACTATCATGTCTATTCTGTTTTAGATTTTATTTTAATTGCTGAAAAATATTTTGACTACAAAAAAAAGACACCTTTGTTTTCAGATTTTCATAAAATGCTGTCTTACGATTTTTGTTGTTGTTTTAATTAAACTATATTATAAGTACAGGAATATCTTGTAAACACAAATTATAAATTCGGATAATGGTTAAAGTCTCTAACATTCTCTATCTTGTTAGTCTTGATTTACAATTATTTACTGATAAATATGTCAAATATTTTATATTATACCCATACTGGTGTTCCTTGGGAACGATTTTTCTCATCCCGTTTCCCACGGAAATCAGGAACGGAAACGATCTATTAAAAAATGGTCATTCTCGAAAATTCGTTTTGTTACATATATGCTTGAAACTTTGCTCTTTCAAACAAAAAATGCCGAAGTAAAATCCGATGTTATATTGTTAAGAAATAGTTTTCAATACTCTTTCAAAGACTTTTACAGTGCTTATTAATTAAAAGAAAAAGAATAAATATCTACAAATAGTAATTCAGACAAGTTTATTTATTTATTATTCATTGAAATGTAATTCAATTATCACAATCATTATTCTCTTTGTGATTATCACTTTCGAGAAAAGACTATTATTCAAATTATCTTTCAATAGAACATTATATCTTATACTATTGAATTTTTTCATTTTTCCATCAGTATTGTTGATGTGCTAGTATTATTTCCTCTCTTTTCAATTGAAGGAGGAAATAATTCTCTGAATTTAACGTTCGTGAATTTCAATGTATTGAGCAATAATTGATTTATTTTACTTAAATATATTTCCAATGATATAATTGTACTCTTAATTTAAGGCTATCTAAGTTGAGTGAAGTACGACATTGATAGAAGCTCGTGTCTGGTTATAATGCTGTTTCTCAAAGACGAAAAATAAAATCATTATAGAAACTTTGAAAGAATTGTGAGAACAGAAAACGAGAAAAGCCATTCCCGCAGGACATTAATCCATACTCTCAAATTATTAAAAACAATCACAGCACATTTTTGTTCGTTATAATAGTAATCACATAACTTGTATGAGTAATAGTCTGCCTTTTGGTCATAATGTCATTACCATAGAGCGTAATATTATATTACTATTATACACAAAAAAAGAAAACATGTACTACACTTCCTTAAAGAAATATAAAAAAGAATTCGCAGGAATGTAAGCGTGTGAATACAATAAGAAAATTTGATATATTTAGTAGCAAATAAGGATAAGTCGACACTAACAAGATAGAGGATGTTAGAGAGAGTCGTAAGAAAGCATTTTATGAAAACTTGAAGAGAAAGGTATCTTCACTGTAGTCAATATATTTTTCAGCAATTTTATCTAAGTTTCAAACCAAATACATTAGATTGTAGAGAATTCAGAGCGTTATATTAGTATATACGATTATTCTTTCGAAAAATTCACATTACGCTGAATATATATATTCAAAATACTGGCTAGAACAATTTATTTTCAGGAGTATACAAGCAACTGAAATTCAAGAGACTTATTCTTAGTTATTGTTTAGTCTTTTTCTTAAATACAACCATAAGATTATAAAAAATTCAAAAAATCATTTTTTACTAAAAACATTTTCCATTAGATCTTCAATAATCCAATGAACATAGTTTTTGAAATCAAAAACTACGAAATCTTTCTGTTAGATTTTATTCAAATATTTTTGAAGTTAATCCATAATAAAAATGAATCATTCTTTCAAAAAATATGTAAGAACTCTTACTGTTGGAAGAAAATATTGTTCAATAAGATCATAGGCCATATGTCTAAGTATTTCTAAATTAGTTTGATGTTGTTCACCTGTTGTATTCATATTTTGTTGTTGTACTGCTAAACCAGCACATCGAAATGCCTAACGAAAAAAAAATTTAAATGAAAAAAAAAAATTTTTTTTCTAAATTATTTTTGTTTTTATACTTCAGCATTAAGATAAAAATTTGCGTAACCAGTAGCATCAATAGTTTGAAGAAATTCTACAAATACAAATAATTCTTATTTTAATTATAAGAAAAAAAAAAAAAAGAAATTCAACAAATTTACTTAAAAAATAATCCAGGCCATTACAATTATTCAATATTTCTGTTAATGGCAACTCATGATAGGTCACTTTTTGTAAAAGTTCATCATCATCCTATAAAAAAAGAAATCGAAATCTAAAACAATTTAATTACAATAAAAGCATACAAATGCCATTGTTTGTGCTTGTTTTTCTAATCTTTCGGAGAGTAATTTTTTAAAATATTGATAACTATTTAATGTTGCACGAATATCTGCATCTAAAAAAAAAGACATAAAACATGAAAAAGTTTATATTACGAAAAGAAATAGAAAAACTATGTATAACCATTTTCTCCTCCGGTATCTTTTGAACGCCATCGATTTATTTCAATACTAATTCGTTCAGCTAATGTTGATAATTCCGCGCTTGAATCAGTAGTTCGTGCAACAAGAAGAAAATTATCGATTGTTAATGGAAATTGTTGACACTAAACATAAAAGCTATTAGCGCAATTCTTACAGGATTAAAATATGAAACGCGATGTAGCTAATGTTGCTAACCACAGGATGATTGTTATTTTATTTTATCTATTTTGAGACATATTTCTTCAGCATCTTTTATTTAAGGCTATCCGCCTTTAAAAAAAAGTCAATTTTCGTCTGAATTGTTGAGATTAAGATTAATGCATGAAAAATAGCTCGAGTCTTAATCTTTCATAAATGACATCATTTTTTTTAGTCAAAATTACATTTTTCTTTTAAGACAAATTTTTATGATTTCTGTTATTATCTGTTTGAAAAATATGCTATTCTCAGTAAAAACGGGAAATCTTTTTCGATTTTTCTCTGGTTATGCTATTTTAATTGCACATCCCAGTTTTCTCGAAGAAACTTCATTATAGCCCATTGTTTTTATTTTTATGTGAAAGAGCATGCCAAGAAGAAATGCGCGACACAGACCGTTTTTATAATTATAAAGAATAGTACATTTGTAAATAGATGATGACTTCTTGAAGATTTTTAGAGACATTGAACGTTTCATCATTTTTCTCCATAGAAAAAGCAAGAATTAAGAAAACCACTCTGTCATGTCCTGCATCCGGACTTGTTCTTTCACGTTAAAAAGAAAATTAAATGTGTGAAATGAAGGCCTACAGAGAGTTTCAGGTTAGCAGATGAGCTATTTTTAGTCTTTGTTTGTTGAATATGTCCTGAAAAAGTCATGTCATTGACTTGAAAATTTTACCGTAGCCTTTCTATAACAAATCAAACATATCATAAAACTTTCATGCGATATAAATACAGCTGTCTCAAGATTATTTTTTCAGCGAGGGTCTCTGAATCCTTCAGAAATGCTATTAGTAGTTCACATCTAATAACAAGACGTTATTCTTATATGATCTGTGATTGTATGTTAACCATGTCTGTCATAGCCTGTGTGTGGATGTTCAAATTTTTACCCCTATACTTCAAAATTCCTTTACAGATCATGTTTCACAAAGTTCAAATTTTATATCATTGTTTTTTCTCTTCTTTCAATTACCATTTTAATAATTAATTGATTGACAGCATCTGGATCTGTATACATATCAATAAAAGGTACTAAACCAAGGTTAACTACAACTTCCTTAAAAGAAAAACATAATCAATATGAGTAAAGTTATTGAAAAAAAACAATATACTCTGAGTAGCATTCGAGCTGGAACACAACGAAATTCATTAGCAGGTAATAAAATATAAATTAACACTTCAACAATATCACGAAGAAATTCTACGAAAGAAGCAGACATTTACTTTTAATTAAATAATATTATATTACCTTTTTCTTTATCTTTTTCCATACAAACTTCATCTCGACAAATTCCTCTTTCATACTCAGCTTCCAAATCAAAAAAGCATGCTCGAATATCTGTCGATTGTTCTAATCGCATGCGTTCTTTAGCTTTTCGATATAATCGAACATGTGTTGCAAAACTATCAACAACTGTTCCAGTACAAAAATCTAACCAATCTATTTCACGTAATCTAATCAACAAGAATAGATAAAAGATAATTCATATTAAAACTCTGTTTTTAGTTAGTTAAACAACCTTTCTGCCAAATGTTGAATTGTTATATAAATTCCATTTTTAACATCACGAATAAATGATTCATCAGAACTTAACTGCGTTTTATACCAAACTTCAACATAATCACGAACAAATAAATCAATTGTCTATAAAATTTAATAGTACAAAAATGAAAAAAAAATTTGTACTTTATTTTTTTTTTTACTTCGTAAAGTGGTTCATCAATAACAGGTATTCCTGTTAATGGTACACGATCATTCAAACGTGACGATGAGTCATTACCAACGTCATCAATCTATTGAAACTAAAGGTGTAAAAGAAGTCATTCTCGTAATCATTGGAAATCTTACATGAGTAATTAATTTTCCTTTGTTAAATGATGTTTTTATAGTTCTTTGTATTAAACTTGACTTTAACCATTTTGATCTATGAACAATCAGATGAATCACAAACCTATAATTAAATAACAAGTATAATTTCAAAAAAGGAAGTTAATAGGAAACTTCCGACAGACCCAAATAAAAATGTGAGAAAAAATAGAAGCCAATAAATTGTTGTTTTTATTCCAATAATGCCTCCTAATATCAAACAAGCAGTGCCGATGATAAGATGTCTTGAAATCATCGACCGACATGCAAAAATAAAAGAGAGAAAGAAAAATCGGTTCAATTATATTATTTTGCTATTTTTTTTCTATCGTAAACAAAAAGATTAATAAAATTGATTGGTTGATTTATTGAACAATAAAAATAAACTCTATAGATAGAGCTACATTCTTCTTGTATTATTAGTGGATAGATAATATAACTTATTCTTTTGCATCATATACAAATGGTAACTGTAAATAATGATGACAATTCTGAAAATGAAAGTGTTTTAGTGATTGATAAAATTACATCATTATTTGATCGTTATCATGGAAAAACAATAAAAGAAAAATATGTAAAAAAGAAATTAATTTTCTATGCAAGAACATCCGGTTTTATAAATAATATCTATCGAAAACAAGCTTGGGATTTATTAGTTCATACGTCACCTGAGGAGTATTCAACAGGTATGATAAATTTTTTTTTTTCTTTTTTATTTATTTTAAATTATCAATAAATAGATAAAAATCAAATTGAATCACATCAATATTATGATCAAATCAAAATGGATGTCATAAGAACATTAAAAAGATTCCCACCAAGTATATATATATATATTCAAAAATTATCTATTGAATTTGAATTTTATTTTTAAGATTATTCTGATTCGGAGAGAAGTCTATTACAAGATGAACTGATTCTTATTATAACAAAAATTTTGATTAAACATGAAGAACTACATTATTATCAAGTTAGTTGTTAATACAAAATTTTTTTTTTTTTGTACAATTTTCAGTTTTTATTTAGGGTTATCATGATATTTCTTTGACATTTTTACTTGTACTTGGAGAGGATTTATGTCTTCCTGTAATTGACTCCATTACAATGTCCCATTTAAAGTAATGTTTATTTACCTTTTTGTTTTGTTTTGAAAGTTTTATATGATTCAGAAGTGTTTGAAAATTATTCAATTAGTTTAAGTGTTTGTATTTAAAGGAACAAAGTTTGTGAGCACACAATATGTATTTTATGAATAACATGACTGTTAGTATATTAATAATTAACAAAATATATCATTAGACGACATGTATTGTAGTAACTATTTTGTGAAAGATGGAATAATTCGAGAAATTAAATTGTAAAACTTATCAAGAGATTATTTGATGGAATTTGTCAAAGTATGTTAATTCGTCGCTATGTTATAAAAGAAGACCCCCCCTTAAAGAAATGATGTGCTAGATGAAATAGAAGACTGCTTTCTTCCCACTTAATTATTTAATTCCTTTTAAAAAATGCAAGTTTTATTAGTATAAATACATCAAAATATGACTATTTTTCAGAGTTTTTGAGCGAAAAATTTTAAAAGATCCATGTTAGCATTATTTTTAGACATCGAAAATCTCTTTTCAAATCGTCAAAATCATTTCAGTTTTCAGAGAAACTTTGTCAATTAGAAATTTTGAATATAAATGAGACATAATAGAAGACTTAAACTCTTCTATTATAGAAAACGTGTTACTAAAAATAAAAAGATAATATATTTTTGAAAATTGCTTTGTTGACAAGATAAAATTCTATATGAAAAGAAGCGAGCATCTCAAGTCTATCTAATGGATGTTATTCTAACTTTATTAATAGAAGATTTCGACTAAGTATATGACTTCTTTCAGCTCAATGAATCGTGAAAATCAAGTCAAAGAAAAAATTACTCTCCAGCGCTTATCATGTGAATCACTCGTCAGTTCTCATTCATATGACAGAAACCGGATAATCAAAACCAATTCTGTTATTTGATCGAGAATTGTCACACATCTAATTTAGACTTATTTTGCAAAACAAATTTGCTTTTTCAAATAGTTCATGAAAGGAAAATGATGAATTTGTATTCGAACTAGTATTTTTAATTAAAATGCTAATAAAAAACAAAATCAATCAAATTTCAAACACAAATTTATAAATGAAACTGAAGAATTTTATAAAAATATCTATATATAAATTCTTAAAAATGTCCATTGGAACTATCACAGTCGAGAAAAAGTATTAATGAGTCTTTGCTTAACCTTTAAACGATTACGAAAGTCCTTGACGGCGCGAAATTACATTAACAAAGTACATTGAATATGCTTTGTTTAATGCATTATAACTTTTCTTTATAGATATTTTATGGAACCAACAATGGAGAAAACACGTGATTCACTGTCATACTTAATGCCACTTATTAATTGTGTCAATAGTGAATGCGCAGAATATATGCAAAGGTAGAAATGATTTAATTACCACGTGTAAAGTATTTATACTCGTTCTTGCATTTATAGAGGTGGTGTTGGGCATGTTATATTTGCCTTGCCATGGTTTATCACATGGTATTCACATGTATTAGATGACCTGCCTATAATTCTTCGACTTTATGATCTATTTATTGTTTCACATTTTCTTATGCCGATTTACGTTGCTGCTGAAGTAAAAAAAAATAAATTTTCTTTTGAAACAATACAAGAATTTTCTTTTGAAATTCAGATTGTAAATTATCATGCTGATGAAGTTTTATCAAAAAATTGTGAAATGGCGTCATTACATCAATATTTATCTTATTTACCTACTGAAATAGATGAAAATACATGGGAAGAAATTATTAAACGTGCTATCTATCTATTTGAAAATCATCATCCAGATACACTTGAAAATTTAAATCATGAATGGAAAATAATATCGTAAATATTTAAATAATATCTTTCAAATAAAAAACAGAAAAAGAAATTTTCTTTTCAAAATATATTTAGTGAATATATTGAAAATTCTCCTAATGAATCAATTATTGAACAACGTTTTGATAAAGATAATAAATATAATAAAAAAATTGTATCAAAACAATCAAGTAAATTATCACGTATTGCTTTTTGGGGTGTGACATTAACAATCGGTGGCTTAGCTATTTACCTATGGAATCAATCACAATCAATAGACTCAACTAAATTTATGAATTTAGGAGATTTTCTTACTCAATTGTATCGAACATAATTCTATACCTAAGTCTTTCTTTTACATTCCTATACTCCAGTCGAACTGTTAATTTTAATTATTTAAAGAGAAAAAAAAAACTATTCATTTAACAGTTAAAGTTTTCTTTTTGTAGATGAATTTTTATTTAATTTATTAGACTAATGAACATATGGTAACAAAAGAAAAAAAAAGGCGGTAAGTTATGTAAATTAAGCTGATATTTTAGTCCCGACTTTTATTTAAGAAAATATAATGATTCAACATGACTGATTTGATCTTAAAAATAAATTATTTCACATGGATAGAATTACTTATTGTAATAATCATTCTCATTATGCTATTTGTTAGGTTATTTTTTTCTTAATGATAGAATATATCAGGTTCCTATGAAGTTTTCTTGCGGAAATTTTACGATGATTACATCCGAACAGTGTTTTTTTCAATTAAATCTAACAATAAATAAAAGTTTTATGATAAAATTAGAGTATTCTTGCGTTAATTTATTCTATTTAGGCTTCAAAATAGAGCTTTTATGATAGATAAATTAATTTATAGTTGCTACGTTGAACATTTGAATCGAAAACTTCTCTTCTTTTTGTCTTGTTTCATAACAATCAGGATATCGTGAGCATGAAAAATGACCTTTTTTTAACAGGAACTTTTGCATTTTAGTTCATAGAAATCTTATTCCAATTTATCTCCATCTGTATATGACAGTTGACGTCAGAGATGTGAATGCAAAGGACAAATTAACTTGTTATACTTCATCGTTTTTGTATCTGTGCAGTAAGTCTATTGTCCATTCGACGAAGCTTTCCATATTTAGACAAGTGACAGAAATAGATTTCATTAATTAAGATAGATTCCTACTGAGTGATAAGGTATAAGATGGAAATAATCACATTGTTATTTCTATCTCTAGTATTAACATATGTTCATATCTATGTAGAATACCATCTTTTGATTATATTATATCTGCCCAAGTCTGATTAATTTTAGTTTGTTGAATTTGTCCTTATGATACTTAAAAAAATAGTTCAGAAGCCGTCTTATAAGTATATTTTCTGTATGACATTACAGATCCGTTCTGTTACGCTTTATACAATAAATTGCTTTAATTATAGATATTTCTCTTAAGCTTATGAAAAAAAAAGCCTATCATAGAAAATTATAGTGTAATACTAGAATCTAAAATGAATTACATGTTATTTTGAAAGAAAAGATTTTATTATTATTGTTTTATCTCAAAGAAACAAATGCACTTGATGCTTTGGTTTTGATAGGTTTTTATTTATTGAAGTTTTCGAATTCAGCTGTATATATACTACAGCATTTTTGAAAATACAATTTATGTCTAAATATTTGAAGACAAAAAATGCGTTCTTTATCTTTTCATTTACGAAAGCAAAATCTATTTAAAATCATGGAAATCCGAATGATAGAAATCTCATCAAAATTAATACTTTTATAAATTAATATAATTTTTTTCTTTAAAATAATATTATTCGATTTTATTCATTTCTTAACAAGAAATTTATAAAATAAAATGATAATACTTCCAAGTACTAATAAATCTTATGAAAAAACAGAATCTATTTAAGAAGTTAAAAGTAATTTTTAATTATTCTTATAATTTCTGTTTAAAGATTTGTTTGTTCATGAGTTATTATATTTTATTCAATATAAATTTAGATAAAAACATTATTATTTCGATTATTTGAATGTAATATTCTCATCTAGATGTTCTTCTTATTATACAAATTCCTAGATCGAAATGAATCTTTTAAAATAATTTCTATCTGAAAAAAAATTTCTTATCATATTTTATAAACATTTCATCTCTAATTCTTGCTCCTTTAATCATATAATAAGAAATGAAAATTACGTGATCCAATGTATGAGATTAGTATTGACTTTGATTATTAATCATACTGTATGATTAAGAAGAAAATTTCTTTTCTCTCATATTGATTTTATGTTCTCTGTCTTCGGATAATCTGCTATGCTATTCTTATATATATATATATGCTAGCTGAGCTCTATCTAAAACGAGCTTTATATGCTTTCTCAATTTGAGTAAATTGAAGATAAAATTATATTTTATACTCAAATTTTCTATTGTACAGAGTCATTGAATATTTTTTTTAAAGAATAAAACTTACACTTTATAAGGGTTGGATAGCATGACAGATGAGGCAAACACATAGAAAACAGCTTGTAAATTCCGTATACTCATACAAATGATTACTAAGATCAAAAGTTTAAAAAAAAGTTCTTGATCTTTTGAAATGATCAAACATTCTAGGCTATTCATTCATGTGTTCATAAACAGCACGTATGCAGTTCTTCGTTATTTCATATTGTAATTTCTCCGTCATAATCGAATTGACATGTTGTTCCACATGATAATTTAGGGATTCTCAAATAGATGGTTTATCGAAGCCGAATTCTTCAAATTGATTATGGTTGAAAGATTCCAATCGGAAATAATGAATGATTGAAGATCTACTACTTATGAATACATCGATGAATACACAAGAGCACTTGATCGCTGTTTAGAATAGATAAACAAGATGCAAATCTTGCAAAAAGTCAAGAGGTTGTTTTTTCCAACTTTGGTTTCTTTATAATCATTTGTATAAGGAATTTACACGATGTTCTCTATATTAGATCCAACTGTCGATGCACTAAAAATTTTTAATATTGTATCGAATTCACTAAGAAGAAAGTTTATTCACGTTTGCACTTATCTCTAAATAAAAATTTTTTATCAAAACTTAGTCTTAAGATGCTTATCTAAAAGATCAAACACACACACACACAGTAGCATAAGCTTGCTTTTCTCCGTATTTCGCTTTTGAATAGAACAATGCTTTCTAATGATTTATGCTTGTATATTATTAATCATTCCTGTCAAACATTTCTATATTAATTACATATATCTTATTTATAGCTTATAAGAGCCAATCAAAAAAAAAGAAATACAGAATAAAAAGAAAATCTAGTTTCATAAGATTCTAAATATTATTTTTACTTTATATATATATATGTATTACTTTTGTTGTAGATTTTCATTGATAAGATATACAAAATGATTAATTAAAAAGAAAAAAAGAAAATATCGATTATCTTTCTGTTTTTTTCTGTCTAAATAATGAATTCATTTTCTTCTTATCATTCGTCATCGTCATCTGATAAATTATTCAAACGTTTTCGTTTATGGAAACGTCAATATCTACATATTGTTATTTATACATCATTATTTTGGATATTTGTTGATGTTTTTTTTATAATGTTATTTTCTGATTGTACGAAACAAGTTGTTATTCCATGTTCATCATCATCCATAGGAAAAGAAAATGATATAAATAATAATATTAAATTAAATAAAGATGATTTTAAACGACATCCAAAATTTAATTTTGATAACATCAAAGAAAAGAATCAAACAATATTTCATAAAAATAATCTTTTAAATAAAAAAAAATTGGAACAATCAAAAAAATCTGGCGGTAATTTTATTGCTAAATGGTTTGGATCTGATTCAGGTTTGAAATTAATTTCAAATAAAAAGAAAAAGAAAAATTTTCTATATTTGAAGGATCAAATCCATCACATTGGCCTGGTGAAGGTGGTCGTGCTGTTGTTATTCCATCTAATTTAAAGGATGCAGCTAAAAAACGTTTTCCAGAAAATCAATTTAATATTGTTGCATCTGATCTTATTGCTCTTAATCGATCAATTAATGATCAAAGATCATCAAAGTTTACTTAATTTTTTTTTCTTTGTTGAGATTTAATATCTTTTTTTTTTAAAGATGTCGATCTCATGAATTCCCACCGGATTTACCAACAACATCAATTGTAATTGTATTTCATAATGAAGGAAATTCAACTTTATTACGAACATTAACAAGTATTGTTTTAAGAAGTCCAATTGAATATATTCATGAAATTATTATGGTTGATGATGCTAGTGTTGATCGAGGTTTATTTAATTTTTTTATTTATTTATTCATTTTATTTTTCTAAATTTTATAGAATATCTTAAAGATACATTAGAACAATTTATAAAAGAATTACCAGTTAAAGTTCATATTTTACGAAATAAGGAACGATTAGGTTTAATGAAATCTCGATTGAAAGGTTAAAAGAAAATAGAAAATAAAATAAATAGAATTTTTCGTGTTTTCGTTTTTAAAGGTGCTGAAATTGCTACAGGTGATACATTAACGTTTCTTGATGCTCACATTGAATGCTCACCTGGATGGCTACCATATTTGTTATATGAAGTCAAAAAAGACAGGTAAGGAATTTTTTTTCTAATTGATCAAATTTCAATAAGTTACTTGATTCGTTGAAAAAAAAACTAATCTAGAATGAGAATACATGACGAATATAACTAAGATTAAATTGATTTAAATAATTATTTGATAATATTATTGTATTGAGGGTATTCCGCTGCTATCTCGTGACCCAAATTTTTTTTTGCTTTTTTTTTGTAGATATCATATAGTCTGTCATAGTATTTATCTACTGACGAGTGAACTTACTCAACTGACACTCACTGTTTAAGGCCATATTGGACTCACAGATTAGTCTTAGTGACAATAGCAAAAGATTAAAAGTATTCGTTCTCATCGACCTTTGCCGCCGAGTTATGATCGGTTTACGAAGTTTTTGACTCATTTGTAGGTACTTTTCGAAAGACAGAATAACGAAATTTTGATTCTAAATTTTTCTCATAGATACATCTCATGACTCTTGGAATATCTTGAAAGTTTCAGCCAAAAAGAATGTTCTTTAATTGAGTTATTATATTTTCATGCATGCTCGATTTTGTGACAAAAGGCTATTTTTGGAAGGTCAAAATTTTTACAAAGGAACATTCTTTTCAGCTGTAACTTTCAGGATATTCTAAGAACTATCACATCTATGCATAGGGAGAGTTTTAGATCGAAATTCTGTCTTGTCATTTTTTGAGGACTACTTATAATGAAATCGAAAATCTAGTAAACTGATCATAACTTGGCAACAAAGGCCATCCAATATAACTTCAGATCGCTGGTGTCAGCTGGTGTAGTGCCCTCATGAGTATACTTAGGCATTCAAAAATTGTCTTTAACCGTTAAAAAATCAAGTAGAAATTAAAGTAGCGAAATCTGTATATCGTTTTTGTGTTTTTCTTAAGCTAACTTTTTCATGAAAAAAATTGCAGAAACTTTCCTGTTTCTTAGGCCTAGTATGTTTAACCGAGGTGAAACTTTTTTTCACATACACTGTACATTGTTTAGGGCGGAATTTTCTTTTTCGCTTCAAAAAATATTGATCCGCTGGTTTTTGGTAACTTTATTCAAGAAAACATATTTTTTAGAGTATCTTCGATATTGTGGCTTCTTTATTTGAAGGAAAATAAAATAAAAAGATATCCGTTTCAAACAGTGTCTAGTGCTTTTAAAAATATTTTCAGCTCGATCGAATATATCATCTTGGAGAAATGGGAAGGGGGAAGGGAGAGTGGATTGGGGCCATTTTTCGTCATTGTGACCCTAGTATCTTGTAGAAGATATTAACCGGCAACGTCGAGTCTATGACAACTTTTACTCTACTCGTCAAGATCTCGCAATGAAAACATATCAAATACATTTGATTGACCTCTACTGAAAGATACAATATTTCTTAATAGTTTGTTTATAACAGTTGAATAGAATATTAACATATACTTATAGTCATTGTAAGATTTTCATTATAGTCTAGAGAAAAAGTTGCAGTTCCACTCGTACTTCGTTGAAGATTTTCTTCTTGTTTTATGAAATATTATAGTTCATTTGACTAGAATTTAGTAAAATATTGATGAAATAAATTTGTGTATGTAGATTTCTAAGATTTTAATAAACGAATGACTCGAGTGTAATTGTAGTGATAGAGTTTCATTCTATAGTTTATTGTATTTAACCCCGTTCCTGTAATAGAAGACTCTAGGTCTTTCATGGTGGCCAATTTATTTTCATAACTCCTAATTAAAAAGGCTTTTTTTTAGAAAACTAAAGCGACTTTATGGAGGTAACAAGTGATTTTTAGCGTTTTGGAAATCTACAGTCTTTTAAGGTTTTCAGCTCGAAGCTCTGAAAAATAAGGATATTTTAATGTAAATATTCTGATTAAAGTTCTAATTTTTCGATAAATCAATTAACTAAAGCGGGATAAAATCTTTTATTACACCCAACGCTTCGTTCCTCGAAGAAGTTCTTCTATTGAAAAGAGAATTTTACTTTGAAAAGTATTAATCTCATTCTATCATCCTATAATATGCTTTAGATCAGAATGAAATGTGCTATTTATTTTTCGTTTCAGAACTTCTGTTGTATGTCCAATTATTGATGTGATCAATGATGATGATTTTGCTTATTTAACTGGTAGTGATATGACTTGGGTATGCTAATCTATGTGCATCTATTCAATATAAATATTATTTTTGTAAAAATAGGGTGGCTTTAATTGGCGATTAAATTTTCGTTGGTATGGAGTACCAAATCGAGAAGAAGTTCGTCGAAATTATGATCATTCATTACCTCTTTTGTAATATTTAAAAAAATTTTGTGTTTTATTTTTGTCGAATAATTTTTTCTTATAATTAACATAGATCCCCAACAATGGCTGGTGGTTTATTTACAATAAATCGTGAATATTTTTATGAAATTGGTGCTTATGATCCTGGTATGGAAGTATGGGGTGGTGAAAATTTAGAAATGTCATTTCGTGTTTGGCAATGTGGTGGAAGAGTTCTTATTCATCCTTGTAAGAAAATTGACAAGAAAACTATATTTTAATAATAAAATTATTATTATAGGTAGTCATGTTGGTCATGTATTTCGTAAACAAACGCCATATACATTTCCCGGTGGTACTGGAAAAGTTATTTTTCATAATAATAAACGTCTTGTTGAAGTATGGCTTGATAAATATAAAGATTTTATTTATACAATTATGCCTGGTTTGTATTTTATATTCTAATGAAAAAGAAAATCAAAGAGATCTTTTGTGAATTAATTTTTCAATAGAATTAAAAAATGTTGATGCTGGTGATGTATCTGATCGTCTTGCACTTCGTGAACGTCTTAAATGTAAAGATTTTCGTTGGTATTTACAAAATATTTATCCTGAAAGTTCAATGCCTGTTGATTTTCATCATGTTGGAGCCGTAAGTTTGTCTTTTTTTTTGTTCTATTTCGCTTTTTATTTTTGAATTTTTAAATATATTTCTAAATAAATTTAATTGAAATTATTTTGATATATATTTATATTCTTTGTTTCTATCTCTCATACGAATAGTTAAAAAATGAAGCTTACGGTTGTGCTGATTCACTCAGTCTTGACAGTGAAAATGGAGTCAATCATGATGCAGGCATTTATCCTTGTCACAATCAAGGTGGTAATCAGGTGTGTATATCAATATATTTTCTTTTTTTTTCTACCTGATTTCAGATAACTTTAGAGTCATAGTCTTGCTTATCTCTTCATCATGTGTACGACAGTCAGGGTGCGAACCGTAAGGCTACATTAAGTATACAAACTTATATAAGCCGAACGTATTCGTCCAACACTGCCGCTTACCAGATGGGAGATAAGTAAGGATGATGCATGTTTAAAAAAAATCTATCTATCTATAATTGTATGATAATTATTTTCGATCGTTTTATTATTTTAATTGAATGCGAAAATACATTTTCGTTTTCTTTTTTTGATCACATGATTAAGAGTCAAACAAGACGATGAGTGTTTAGAGAAAATAATCAGTGTACAAGAGAAAGAACGTGTTCAAATATATTTGAATTTAATAGATATGAAATCAAATAGTATCAGTTTTAAGAAATCAATGAACAATGAAAAATTGCTCAAAAACTTACGTTCGATGAGTAGATTTACAGTTAATGGAGACTTCTGATCGATTCAATGTTCTTCTAGCTTTACTTTTAAGTTTTATAATTTCACGAAATTCGTTATTTTATGACATGAGATATACTATAAAGATTATCTAAAACTATTGTCTTCTAGTAGAATTATTTGTTGATAAAAGGCTATAGACATGTAGGATTAATTTTTCAAGACTTTGGTAATTTAAAATCTTCAATCTTATATACAGGGTAGAGAAGCCCATTGAATTAATGATTTTTTTTATGATGAAACGTTCCGCGTAAGATAAACTTTGAATTTTGAACCAAACAGAATCTTGCATGAGAATGCTTTAATGACAAATTTCTTACTAGTCAATAGTCAGTTCGGTTAGCTCTTTCCATTGTTATTCGACATTTTGAGATTTTCAATTACAGTTTTGAAAGACTGCCAAATCATCTTAGAATTTCTAAGTCTTTTGTACAAACTGCATAGCACGATTCGATAAAAAATTGTCTACAAAATGAAAGACTATTATGGCTTCACTGATCCATGGTAATTTTTCAAAATGTCATAAGTGATTGGTTATTCACGAGAGAATCCTTTCATCTGACTTCTTTCGATTTTATTGATTGTTTGCTTGTAGATACTATAAGGTGTTCTAATAAAAATCCTAAAAGAATTTGGGTATTTGACTAGAATATCGAATTCTTTAGTTTGATTATTTTCTAGAGTCCATACATTCTTGGAAAACTGATATTTTCGAATTTTGATCTGAAACTTTGTTTATATACAGAAGTGAACTAAACTAGCTCTCTTTAAAAAATTCCGAAGTTTTAAACAAAAGTCTCTTCGAGATATGAGGCTTTCAAGATATTGACCCCTTTTTCATGGATAATGTATACAACATGCATTTTTTTGAAAGATTCATATCACGATTTGACTTTGTTCAAAACTTTAGAACTTTTTTATGAAAGCTAGTCTAGTTAACTTGTGTATAAACACGAAATTTCTGATCGAAATTCAAAAATACCAGTGAAGTCTTACAAGAACCTCTAGAAAATAGGCATATTAAAGATTAGATTAGTTTGCCAAAGACTCAAATCCTTACACTATTTTTATTAGAACACAATATAGTATCAATAGGCAAAAAAAAACCAATGAAATCTGAAGTGACAACTGAAGAGGTTCTTTCGTCAGTTGTATTTTATTTTTTATTTTACAAATTTTCTCCAGCCATCCTATATATGTTGCGCATTTCATTCACTACATTTGCAAGACAAAAATTTGTTCATATATTAATTAATTGATTTTATATAGATTTTGGTTTATTCAAAAATTGGTGAGCTACGTTTTGATGATCTGTGTATGGAAGGAAGCAAAAATAGTGTTGTAAAATTACAAAAATGTTTCGAAGGAAATCAAAAACAAACATGGAATTATAATAATGAAGTAAATTTATTGTTTAGTTTTGATTTAAAATCAAAAGAAAATTTCTCTTTTTAGACAAAACAAATGAAACATGTTTATTCTGGTCAATGTATGATTCTAGATCAGAACAAAGATAATGGTAAAATTCTTCTTGGTAAGTGAGAAATACGAAGAATAACTTTATAAAATAACATGAAATAATTTTAGGTTCATGTGACGAACAATATAATAAAAATCAACGATGGCATCTAGAACATGCAATATTAACTTAGTTTCAAGTTCAATTTCTTTTCTTTTGTTTGAGAATGATACGCATTTTTTATTTTTAATCAAATCATACTGTTACTCATTTGGTTAGAGAGTCTGTTTGTTCAAAAATGTTTACCTCCTATCATAATAGCACATTCCAAATTTGTTTCGAATAGGATTTTTTAAAGGAAAAACAAAGAAAGATCATAGGTAAATCATAACGCCTAGTCCAGTTGTTTATTACTTGTTATAAAATATCTTTTGGCATCGCAATAAATACATCAAACAAAGAGAAAAAGAAATGAAAAATCAATAAATTTATTAACTTTTTTTCTTGTCATATGAAAATGCTTCTATTGTTATTGCTTTTCTTTCTTTTTGTTAGTTTCTTCTTTTTTGCTCATATGGTAAGAACAATAAATTTTTACTTTCATTTTCTTTTTGTTTGCTTTCTTTTTCATGTATTTAACTTTGTTGGCTATTAAATGTTCTTTGTTTTTTAATTTAATGCTCTTGTTTTTCCTCGTGTTTTTTCTTGTAATAATTTTGGCAGCATATATATATTTATTGCAAAAAAATGATACAAACATTATTGAAATTAGTGATGATTTACATAAAACTTTACAATTAATTATATTACGTAGAAAATGATTTCTGAATGAGTAATATCATTAAATCAAAAAATAGAATATATAGAAGATATATGGTGATGTGAAAGATATTGAAGATGAGAGTTAGGAAAGGTTAGAGGATATAGACTGCTGAAATGCTGTATTTGAAAATTTACATCTCCTCAGTGAATCTTAATTTAAAACAAATCATGTTTTTTTAGTCTTAGCATAGAATCAATCAAATGTATAAGTCGAGAATCTCCTTTCACAAGGAGATACGATCATCATCATGGTCATAATCAAAATAGTTTCATGCTTTGATTTATTCGTTCGAGCATCATCTCTTCTACATAGTACGAAAAAAAATACTATCTAGATGAAATAACAACCGTTAACATCGATACTCTTTGCGAAGTTTTCAACTTCAATGTCTAAACTTGCGCAGGAAAACAAAAGCTTTACTTGTAATCATTTCTTTGTGTAGCACGAAGTTTTGGAGATATCATTAATGAGTATGTAAGCGTGACAGAGTTTGATCAAAAGATGTTCTGTATTTATATGTAAATTGTTTTTTGTATCTATGTATTGCGTATTTAGTAATATCGTACCTTGAAATAACCTTATCTTTTAGCAGAAAATAGTTTTGCTTCATAAAAATCATGAATGCATTCAGAAAGAAAACAAATAGACTTACCTGTTAAAAAAGAGAATGGCTGTTTTTTTATGCGAAAATTCCGTCCGACAGCATATAAATATGAATGAATTTCGATATATGTTTCCGTTCTTTTAGTAGGATAACATTTACTTGCTTTCTTATAGTACTCCATGTCATTTTCTGCCTTCTCTATCATATTATGCGAAACTATTTTAACGAAGTCTTAAAGTTACTTTTCTAATTATCTAAATCATTCGTTTAATCTGATAGTCGTTATTGAATATTTGTAACTATGTAGAAAGAGATGTATATTATTTACCTTTGTAGTTATATCATATGTTTGATCGCCATCGTTGCTTTGCAATAAAAAATCTAAAAAAATGTTCATTCTATAAGTTGAAAAGGAAATTATGCACGCAGTCAGAAACCGTATTAACACACTTTTCGGTAGAAAAATCTCTTCATCCTAATATTTGATATGCTATTGTAACTACTAGATAGAATACTCAAACTGCATTCATATCAGGCTTTTGATAAACATTTAATTCTCATATTATGAATTTCTTCGCTTTTTTAAAGATTACAAAATCAATTTTCATTTTCTTCTTATTATTATTTTAAACTGTATTGGTTACTGATGACACAGAAAAACGTGACAAACTAGGCAAAGAATACGGTTTGAAAGTCTATGCAGCTGATCAATTTTTGCAGACCCTTGATGATTGTAAACGTAGTATGATTTAAATTCCTACATTGAACTATCAGTGACAGAAGAAGACTGTGAAGCTATATTTGTTGTTCAAAACTGGATACATGCTAATAAATTAATCATTACTTATCGCCTCTATCATGAAGGCGGGACATTTAAAATTATCCATCATGTTCAAAATGAAGATTTCGATGATTCTTATATTATCTTATTAGTTTGTGCCTAATATTTGAAACCTAAACCGTGACAATCTATTTTTATAATAGATATCCATTTTTTTGAACATATCTTGGTTATTATACCGGTGAGCATGATTCTTTGTGTTATCAATAAGATAGTTTCTTTGTACTTGCATGCATATCTCTGCCAATCAAAACCAAAAAAAAAACATACTCTTTTCTCTTTATTATATCTATATTTTTAAATAAAGTCAACGTCAATTACATTTTCATTTTCACAATGTTAATACTCTTTCTTACATCTTGAAGATCAGGATGATTAGGAGGTAGTGATCGTTCTAGAATTTCAAGAGCACGTTCATAAGACGAAAGTGCTTTCGAGTAATCATGAATGTTTCTATAAACCCAGCCGATATTGTTGTAAGTAGTAGCTAAATCAAGATGATCTGAAGGAAGCGTTTTTTGGTAGATTTGCAATGCTTTTTCATGAAACGAAAGTGCATTCGAATAGTCACCCATGTTGTCATAGACCATACCAATATTGTTGTAAGAAGCAGCTAAATTAGGATGATTTGGAGGAAGATTTTTTTGGTCGATTTGCAATGCTTTTTCATGAAATAAAAGTGCATTCGAATAGTCACCCATCTTATCATACACCAAACCAATATTGCTGTAAGAAGTAGCCAATCGAATATCTGTTGGAGAGAAAATTTTCTCAAGGATATTATTTGATTGCTGATAATAGGCAATTGCATCTTGATATTCGCCTTGATTCTCCTTAACTAATCCAAGCTGGTTATAGATATTTGTCTTTTCACGATCCATCGTTGTTTGATCAAGTAGAATATCATATAGATCTTGAGCTTTATTGAAATCTCGTTGTTTAATTAGCCACATACCCAAACGATCCCATCCTTTCACATTAGGATTTGTATCCTTGTGCATCTGTTCAGTAAGTTCATGCAGTTCTGGATCGTTGTCACTGACTAGCGTAAGGTCTACTTGCCAAAAACGATCGTTGTCAATTTGTTGAATTCTACCAATACGAAATATGGAATGCATAGAGAAGAGAAATTCTTCTTCTTTAAAATAACTAACGTCACGTATATTAGCAAATGGTGTAGACACAATGGACGGCTCAATTTTTATGACAAATAAGATACCAATGAGATCGGATGTTCTAATAGTTTGATGAATGAAATTGAATGATACCTCACGATCTGTACTAGTTGATAGGAAATTATTAAATGATAAAAGTCCATTTTTTCTTTTGTTCAATTGATCAAAATTTGTCTGCGATAAACCTTGACTATGATAGACAATAAATGATTTCAAATGTGTACGTCCAACATATTGTTCTTGGTGAAGTTTGGCGATATGATTATGTAGATCTCGGATAAAAAATCCCATGCTAATGATGAGATCGACCTCTATCATTCGTAATGATCGATTGAGTATTGAATAAAGAAAATTTTTATGAGTATACCACCAAATAGGAGGATGGTCGTGATATTCATGTACCAGTTTATCGACAGCTTGAAGTGCTTTCGAGTTCTCGGCGAAAACATCGCGACAGTATGTAATAAAATCATTTAAATGTTGCTGTTCAAAATCGATAGTTAATAAAATTTCTTTTATTATTTGTGTATACATAAATAACGAATCCATGTGATTTAGGTTTGGTCTCGTAGGTCCCTGATTGGTCGTGACAAAACTGATTGAAATCAAGTTTCGGTCACATTCAAATACTGCCTGCTTAAGGGCTTTACAAATAGGTACAATATCTGTAAAGACACCTTTTATTTTTGGCCAATGTTTCGCCCATTGTTCATGCCGAGCTTGATTTCCACAAAAAATATAAATATTACTGACTTGAGGCAAATCATGCACGATAGGAACTGTAGTTTGTCCCAATGAGCCGGAAGTGATCATAAACATTTGTTCTTCTTTGGTATCTTTGACAAAACGGATACATTCATCGACATCCGTAAATGGATTAATCATGTTAATTATTTTTTTTAATTTTGACATTGTCGTCTTACAGCCATCGTCATTCTTTAAATCGATATTACTGTCAAGCCAGACTAGTAAAAAATTTTGAGTCATATATGCATGAGATCGTTGTCGCGGTCTTTTGCTCATATGTTTAATTGAAGCAGCAGCAGAGATAACATCTGATGACTTTGTTGTCAACTTTTTTTTTCTGTCATCCATAATGTATTTTAATTGAATCAACGAAATCAATAATGAAGAGAAAATGAAAAAAAAAACGCGTGTATTAATAGACCCACGAAGTTTCGTTTAGTAACGAGTCAACAATAAAAGAAAAAAGAATATTGACATAATGCTGTTGCCATAATCGTTGCCAACAAATAAATCATATCTGAGAAAAGAGTTGCCATGTGTTCTCTGTTCCTTTTTTCTTTCTCGACTTTTCTACCAGTTTCTCTCTCTCTCTCTCTGATTTCATATAATGCCTTGGTGCATAGAAATGAAGCAGTCACGTTTGTTGCTTTAATGTATTCGCATCGAAAAGAACGAGAAAGATTGCCCATCTCACCGAATAACCGATAACATAAAAAGACCTTCTTGCTCTCATACTATGACGCAACGTATATTTAGAGACAAAAAAAAGACGCTTCTCTCTTTTCATACAAAAAATTTGTGCTAACTATTCATTTTGTGTTTTAACGTTATTCAAGAGTTCGCCTGAAGGACAAAAAAACGAAAAATGATGGAGAAATTGTTGTTATCGCTTTCGGTAGATTCTTATCAGCGTCACTGTGTGCAGTGAATGACATGTGTCGCTTTCAACAAAATTTAACATGCATTTGCTTCTTCTCTTTCATCTGTTTTTTTTTTGAATAGTTCAATATAATCACTGATGCGTACTTTAAAAACTTGCAGCACCAGTATAAAGTTCGTACCACAATTCACGGTGAAGATCCACACATAGACTTATAATAAAGTTTCTACTTCAGCAACCAGACAGTGTGTGAAACCTGCAGACCTCGATCTCATTGCACGTACTGAATCCGGAACTTTGTGATCATCTTATCCCCAAAATCAGAGTGAGATGTACTTGAGAAAATATTTTAGACGAAAAATGATATGTTTGTAGCGAAAAATATCTGTGTCGCTATTCGAACACAAATATGAGTAGATGCTAAAGATATAGATTAGTGGATTGGTTGTGTATCTACTATTAATCAATACAATTATAGTAATTTTTCTCTGAATGCTTGGAGAAATTTCTGATTTTTTGAATATTCTTAATACCTTCAAAAATTCGATGTGGGTGTGGGTGTGACAGAAAAGAGGACATACCATACACCCACACACCCACACCCACCCACACCCTTTCGAACAAATATCGGTTTTTACATTGGATGATACAGAATGATCATCATCAATACTTATGACTTGTTTTCTTACTAAACGATTCTATTTGACCATGGACAAGATAATTTTGAGCAAGCCAAAGTTTAGACTGTTGTTGATACAATTAATGGTTATATTAAGACGTATAGACAGATCCATTAGAAAAAAGATAAAATCAAAAAGTAAAAATTTACGACAAAAAAAATCGGCTTTGAAGAATTACTAAAAATATTTACAAAATTTAGGCATTTTAAGTAAACACTATGGCAATGAGGCTGCATTCTATCATTGGCAATCATTGAACATGAAAATATTGATTCTTTTACCATTTAGAAGAAAAATGCCCTTCAATTAAATACGAAGTCTTCGAAAATTTATCTATGGTTAAACTAACATTATCAAAACGTGTAAAAACAGTCCAAAATTGCAGAAAATTTCAAGACTCAATTGAAAATATCATATTAGAAAATAAAAATCAAATTGATGAGCAATCATTTATTTGTTTTTCTGTTGCTCTGGAAATATTACTTTAACATATGTAAAAAATAGAAAACTAAAAAAGAAACTGAAGATTCTTTTTATTCTAAATTATATTATATTTTATCATGTTACACTGTGTCTATAGCTAAATTTCACACTGTACAATTGTACTTAATTAGCTTTGCGCGAGTTTTCCATCATTCATTTTATTTTTATTCATAGTAAGTTTTGCTTTAGTAGGTGCAATGATTAGCTCATTTTGAATTGTAAAATAAAAAGTTTTGCTTTAACTATTCTTCAAATAAATAAATAAGCAAAACAAAAGAAAAGAATATCATAAAATTCATCAATGTTCCTGGAACAATAAATTGATTATCTCATCATTATTTAATAGCGAATAGAATTTTTGATAGTAGAAAATTGATTATGTCATCAGAACAAAATACATCTGATGCTACACTTGGCTCTTGAATGGTCTTATTACATTATATGAAATAATTTGAAAGAAAAAAATCAATCTCATCCTGCACTAAAGATACCTAGACGTAAAATTACTAAAGACTAGCAATGCAATTATGTCTCTTATTTCTAAAATTGTCCATGAAATTATTGTGTATAACACAATTTTCTCAATCTGGTCATGTCTTGTGATACGATGGAAAAATTTTCTATTATTTTCTGTCAAGACAATACTTTAGCATATACAGGTCATTCCATTTATTTTGAAACGATTTGCATGTTGTTTTTCTTGGCTGATAACTGAGAAAGATCTCATGATTCTCATATCACTTGATACTCATAATACGCAACATGTTGTTATGATGTTTATATTTTGCATAAGCGAATGTCTCGTAATAAAATATNTCGAAAGTCGGTGAGCGAAAATACCCAAAAGAATTCGGGAATTTAGCTATGAGAAAATGAAAAGTTCTCAAAAACAGGGGGCTCAATACTGACCCACCCACCCTGCTCGGAATGCTTCTGTTTGATATTATGAAACAGAAGAAATAGTCATTTTTGCATGAGGCTAAAAAATGCGTAAGAAAACATATGTTGTTAAACTAAGCCTTAGGCGATGCGAGGTGAGTTAGCGGCGAGCGACTTACCGACATGACGAGGCACCTTTTTAACCGATTCGCTGATCTCTGGCACATAATTTATTTGTAATTGTCCACCAAAATTAACTAGTCAAACATATCTTATAGCTAATCCATGTGGATTTCAATCATGTCGTAATGGTGGTACATGCCAAGTAGCAATGAATGGATATATTTGTTTATGTCCAGCTTATTATGTTGGTGTTAATTGTGAATATATTAATCCATGCGTATTAATTGGAGCACCTTCATCATGTCAGTCACTATTAACCCCTTCAGGAAATTATACATGTTCATGTCCAACAAATCCACTATGTTTAACAAAATATTCATGTGAGAAAATAAATATTTATAAATATCCTAGTGTTCAAGTAATCCATGTCAATATGGAACTTGTATTGTAGTCAATTCTGGTCTTGCTTATCGTTGTATATGTTATCCAAATTATTTAGGTGTACAATGTAATTTACCAGATCCGTGTGCTTTAAATATATGTTATAATGGAGGTCAATGTATAGCCATAGTAAACAGTGATAGCACACAAGTTACTCAATCATGTCAATGTTCATCTTCTCAATATTTTATTGGTTCATTTTGTGAACATTATAATCCATGTGTATCATCACCTTGTATGAATGGTGCAACATGTACATCTTATGTTAATATAACATGTTTTTATCGTTGTGTTTGTCCAATGGGTTATTCAGGTGAACGATGTCAATATTCGATAGCACAAATTCGTTGTGAATCTGTAAATATACCAAATAATTGTCGTAATGGTGGTACTTGTATGTTAATTGGTATGAGTACACAATGTTTTTGTACATCAATGTATACAGGTACATTATGTGAAAATATAGCTGATGTTTGTAGTTTACGTGTATGTCAGAATGGTGGAACATGTTTAATTGTAAATGGTACAAATGTTAGATGTCAATGTTTACCATCATTTCAAGGTACATATTGTGAATATTCAACAGATCCATGTTCAGTTCAACCATGTCTTCATGGTGGACAATGTATAGCATCATTTTTAACATTTACATGTAATTGTGCACAAACAATGTATACAGGACCAAGATGTGAAACATTAATTTCATCACCATGTATAACAAATCCAGTAAAGAATCTTTTTGTTTTTTTTTCTTAATAAAATCTTTGTATTGCTTGTTTCTTTTTTCTTTTCAATAGTGTTTAAATGGTGGTACATGTCAAGTAGTAGGTTCATCATATGTTTGTGTATGTCAAACACCTTTTACTGGTTTAACATGTGCACAATCAATAAATATTTGTGCAACAGTTCAATGTCTTAATAGTGGTACTTGTTTAGATTATGGTACCTTTGCTTTATGTAATTGTTTAATAAGTTACACTGGTGATCGTTGTCAATATGTAAATCTATGTTATCCAAATTCTCTATGTTTAAATGGCGGAACATGCATATCTGTATTGAATAGTTTTTCATGTCAATGCCCAGTTGGTCTAACAGGTACAACATGTCAATTATTATCTGATAATCCATGTGCTGGTGGTGATTATCGGTGTTTAAATGGTGGAACATGTATAATATTATCCGGTACATCACAAGCCAGTTGTTCATGTCCAATAAATTTTACTGGTCAACAATGTGAACATGGTTTGTTAGAGATTTTATTAGTAACTTCGAAAAAGAATTATTTTGTTTTAGTTGTATCATCTGTATCTATTACAACAATAACAACAACACTATCTTCATCGATTTTAACGATTATTTCTGAATCATCACCATCATCATCAATGATTATTAGAACAACATCATCAAATTATTTAAATATAACAAGTGCACCATATGCATGTGATGATATATCACTTGCTTGTCTCGCTTATAGTGCTTATTGTGCTCGTGAAATTGAATTTTCTGGTATTCCATGTCGAGTTCTATGTCCAAGAACTTGTAATACTTGTAAGTTTAAAATTATAAATATACATACATATATATATTTTATTTATGTTTATTTTTTAGGTTGCGATGATTTTTATATCGATGGTACGTGTTCATTAGAAAAATGTCAACTTAATCCTCAACTTGCACGTTACTGTCGAAAATCGTGTATCTGCAAAACATGACTATAATGCAATGTTTCTTTTTTTTTCGTTTTTATTAAAACGTATTTATAAATCAGAAGCTTCTTTCTTTATTATAATATGACTAAGTGATTTAATTAAATAAAATATTCTATTATCTTCAATATATATCCTTTAACGTATGGTAAAAACTGAAACATCTTAAAATATCTCCCTTTCCGTTTCCAATACATATGAATAGTGTCCTGCAATTCAATTGAGTAGTTGGCACTGAGTCCAGCTCGAAGTATGGATCCACGGTGCAAACTTATCAGATTGATTCGGGTGTTGCGATGAAAACAAAAAATTTCGAGTGAGATCCGGAAAGTATCTAGTGTACTTTTTCATATCAAATAAAAGTTTCAAAACCATACTGTGACCATACAAGTATCTGCCGCACACTGATTAGTTTCAGTCTGAGCTCAGTTGCGAAAAGTCGTACTGATGCAGGACAATACTTGTGAAGAACAGATACTTAGACAGTTTTGAAACTTTCACAATAGATAGATCTGGATGATTAGAGCAAAAGTTGTCATAGACTCAAAATTTCCAAATGCTTCCTTTCAGGAACTATCTATTTTACAGATACTAGACTTTGTTTGAGATGTCTACTTTTTTTAGGTTTCTTATTATCTCCTTCGATTTGAACAAAAAGACCACGCTACTAAGCTCATGCTCAAAAATACATGTCTTTTTTTTAAGTTGAGTTTTTTTTTCTACATAAACCCTGGTATAGATATCAGCGATATATCATGTATTAAAATAAGGAAAACATAAGCATTCTAAACACTTTCTAGTTTAAGTCGAAGAAAGTTTTAGCTCGTCGTCGTCGTCGTCGTCGTCGTCAGATATACTATGACTTGTTTATTTCAAACAGAAACAAAAAGAACGTTTGTGTTGATGTCATTTTTTCAGAATACACTCTCTTTTCAATAATAAATCTGATCCTTTACTTTCATGTTCTTAACTAATCACAATCGAAAGACTGAATTCTATTATAATCGATCGTGATTAAAAAGAATCATATTTGTAAGTAATAAATAACTCTAATCGAAAATGTCCGTTAATATATAAGAAAGTACAACTAAGTTTAACTGTGGTCTTTTCTAATAAATAAGACTTTTCATTCTATTAACAATATGCATATTTAGAAAGTAAAAAATGCTTTTGTGTTTTTCTCATGATTTAGTCAATTGTCTTATACTTTTCAGTCTTATTTTTAAATAAACTAAATCAAAACAATAAACAATCGAAGAAATGACAGAATGAAAAAATAACGATCTGTCTTACATTGCAACACATGTAGAAGAAAAACATTAAAAGACAAAACGATATTATGACAGAGTAAGAAATGTGTTTTTTTAAATATTTCTAAATTTCTTTGTTTTATTTTCTTTAGACGTACTGTTCATTGTACATTCCATAATGTTTCATCTGATCTTGTTAATATAATATCATCATCAATCGGTATTCGTACATTATCAAAACAAAAAAATAATCAATTATCTTATTCATGTTCACTTTGCAATGCTCGACAAATACGTTCTACTCTTGCAGATTCTCTTGGTCAATATCCACAAATTTGGTTTTCAATAGATTATTCAAATCAATTGAATAAGGTCTCTTCAAAATATGATAAAAATTCTTATTTGATCGATCATATATTTTTTGGTTCTTTATATTCAATTGAAAAATTTGTTGTTCATAATACACCTCTTAATGAAAGAAAACACTGGAAAATAAAAATTTATAATAAACAAACATTATTAGTCGAATCTGACGAAGAAAATTCTTCTATTCATTTATCAATACCATTAAAATTTCTACATAAAGAAATTCTTGTTATTGATGGTGAAGATTTTTCTGAAATTATTTTTAGTTATAATTCAATAGCAATTGATATACGAACAAATAATAATAAAAAACTTGAAAAGTAAATAAAACAATTCATAATTTTGCTAATTAAAATGCTCTTGTTCTTTTTGTTTTGTATTTAGAATTTATGGTAATAATCCAATCGTTAAATCATTAAATCAATGTACAGATTTTTTAATATGTTTATCACCAAAAACTGATGCTGATTTATTTCTTGATTGTCTTCAATTAAATTATAATTATAAAATTTTTTATACAACAATTTTAATACAACATAGTATTTATCAATGGTCAATAAATGATTTAAATTGGTATCAAACAGATAATGCTCGTTATGCTATATCAATGTTACATTCATTAGGTTATGTTTTTGATGATAAATATTTACATAATGATATACTTCAAAATTGTATGATTGAATTAGCTGAACAAGATGAAAATTATTTTTATCAAATATCATTAAAAACTTTTTATGAACTTAAAAAATGTCATTGGTTAAACTTAATAGAAATTTTTAATAAAAATCATATTAAAATAATAAATGAAAATAATATACTTTATATATCTGTTATTCATATAACACCAACACGTTTTTTAATAATGCCAAAAGAAAAAACTAAAGGTCATCGTGCAATACGTCATTCAGTATTTCAAGGCATTAATGATTTTTGTCTTGTTTATTTAAAACCTGATCCACCAAATATATATTTCAATGATGATAATAATCATATGATAGAATATTTTAAACAAATATTTCAATCAGGTATCGATTTTGCTGGAAATCATTATCATTTATTTGGAGCATCAAATTCACAATTAAAAGATCATTCGTTTTGGTTTATAAAAGCATTATCATTAAATGAAATTCATCAAAAACGACAATTATTAGGTCAATTTGATAAAATTCTAAATATAGGTACATATGTTGCTCGATTAGGTTTATGGTTTAGTAAAACGGATCCAACAGATGTAAGTACATATAGCGAATAAATAGATAAATAAAAATTTAGAGAGAAAAAAAAACGAACAGATGCGGCAGGATTAATGAACCTCTCAGTATTCTCTGAATATTTCTGCCATTTGTAATCGTTTGTTGAAAATATTAGTGTTCAACTGGAATTGAGTTACGAAAAGGTTTTTGGATTTCGAGGTGGATCTGCAATCCGAACATTTTGCAAATATAGAAGACATTTTGAATGCTTTGTTTCCTTTAATAGTTCTACAAGAGAGCATGGAGAAGCTTAGTAAAATAAGAAGGTATGTGTGTCGCACCATCTTTTCTTCTATTTCACCGACTTTTCTTTATTGACATCGGACAACAATGTATTGCGGCTGTTCTGTCTGTTCAATGATGATCCAAAAGTCGCAGTTCTTATAGATAACAAAAGAAAGACAAAGAAGAAAAAAATCTATCACATAATCATGTTGTCTCAACTGCGAAATCTCAAAGACGAAATAAGGTCGAGAGCATCTCTCTTGTTGACAACGACGATATGAAACGAAGACAAGAAAGATTTAGAAATTGTTTTTCTCAAGAGTAAGAGAAGAGAAAAGTGATCGATTCTAGACTCCGATTCGGGTTGGATCACGAAAAATTTGACTCATATCGAACACTAGAAAACATAGAAATAAGCAATTTGTTTGACAAGTATTGTGACAATGTCTTACTAACTATTTTCAAGCATAAAATTGAGTCTTTTCGCATGTTCTTTGTGCCGTAGTGGTAAAATTTGGAAAAATCTTATTGTCCATTTAATAGATCTTTTAAAGCTCTGTATCATAGGCATACTTAATAGTGTTCTCAACAAGCATCTTTGTGCTTACGAACAGATGATTGTTCCATTTTTGGTGCACACTTTTTATTTTATAACCAAGCAATTCAGTGTAAGAATGTTTAGCCTAGTGTAATGCCTACATATTTTTTCATAGTTGTAACAAGTACCCTTATCCTTCATATATGACGTTAGTTCGAGTACATTTCATTGTACCTAAAATGTAGTTCTTTGCAGCATTTTAGCAGTTGTTTATTAGCCTAAAGAAATCGAAAAAAAATTTTGTTAATTCGTGATAGAAAGTTATTAGCAATAAATTTTCATAGTAATTAATTATTTTTGTTTCTATCATTTTAACACACAATTTTCTAGACAATTTCATGTTACATGTTTTGAAAAAGTTCAATTCAAAGCAATAAGATATATTAAGAAAATACTGAAAGATTCATTTATTCTGTTGCATCTGTTATTTTAGATTAAACTTAATTATTGTTCAAATGAAAATGAATTTAATTATCGTATTAAACAAGATGAAATATGTATCATGATGATAGAAGATATTGAAAGAAATAATTATTGTTTTACAGATGGAAATGGTCTAGTTTCGAAAGGTTTAGCAAAATTAATCTATGAAAAACTTAATAATAATCAACAAAAAAATGTAATTGTTCCATCAGCTTATCAAATTCGTATAGCTGGTTGTAAAGGTCTTATTATAATTGATCCTCAATCAACATTTGATCAATTTTATATTAAAATTCGTCCATCGATGAAAAAATTTGAATGTAATGATTGGTCTTTAGATATTTGTGGTTATAGTCGAGCGAGTAGGTTTAAGATAGATAAGAAGATTTTTAATAGAATTATTTTTCTTTTTGATTTTTAGCACCAAGTCGACTTAATAATCAATTTATTTGGCTTTTATCAGATCTTGGAGTATCAGATAACACATTTCTTCGACTTCAACAACGATGGTTTAGTAAGAAACCATCACGTTCAAATTATTCTGAGTTAATAAATTTTTTTTTCATAATTCTGGATATAAAAGTACCGGATCTTACTATAAATGAAAATGCTCCGTGTTAATAGAATTTTGTGAGTTGTTGTTTAGAATAACATATCAATAATCGACTAGATGAAAAACAGCAAACCATATTCATATTGTGATGATTACCATATTTCAGATGTTTGACAAATAAATGAATTAAAATTCTCAGAGACAAGATATATTCTATGAACTATATAATGACGTAATTAGACAGCGGAACTCAACACCACCTATTCCCTCTATAAACATGATCAGAAGGGTTGAGTCCTTCCTACAAGTTTTTTTCTAGTCACACTACTAAAATCATT